AAGATTATTTAACATATTTCCAGACCTTTTTTACCTTGTCTGGTAAAAGTGTCTCATTCCATTGGCAGATCATTTTACTTGTTTTGAGAAATAATGCAGATAATTTTGCTTATTTCCAAAAATAATGTGTGAAATAAGTAAAATGATCTGCCAACAGAATAAGAATGACTTAAAGCCAGTAAAAGATGTCTAGAAATAAGAGAAAAAACCTATAATATTCTGACAATAACCTCATAATGAGAAATATTAGATATTTTGATTAGATTTAAGATGTTTTCACTTGCTAAGAGAACTTTTTTGCAGTGTACCGCACTACAAGCAACATAGTGGGATAATCTTACTTACATTACTGAAACAAGTAAAAAGTGTCTAGAAATAAGTTAAATCATCTTAAGTTAAGCCTCCATCAATCTCAACAGGAGTAATTCGATTTCTTGACTCTAATTAAGATAATTTTACTTGACAAGACACCATTTTTTGCAGTGTATAGCGAAGCGGGAAGGTCTTTTAAAGTTGGGGGTGCTGAGATTTTAATCAGCATATTCACAACCTACACTATCATGTTATGCAAAAATGCTATGCCAATTTTTACATCTCAAATTATGCAAAAACAAGTAGAAATGCAAAAATTAAGATATAAGTGTCCACATATGACATCAAACCACTTATGCAAAGTTTATGCAATTGAGCTGAGCGGCAACCAGATTGTCGATATATGGCGCTGTAACCTGCGTACGTGTCGCCCGTAGTCAAGCTACATGCTGAGATTCGACACTCGAACGCACACCGAGCAGGAGAGACTGAAAAACTCCACATGTAGGATGTTGTAGCTTTTGATGACACTTTTAGGTCTGAAAAACAATCTTAGGACACTAATGTAGCTTCTTTTTTAGTGAAACGCACCCAAAGAGGCCTAGAGGGAAGCAGTTTGGCTCACTGTACGCTGCAAAAAATGGTGTCTTGTCAAGTAAAATAATCTTAAATATAGTTAAGAAATCTAATATTTCTCCTGTTGAGGTTGTTGTAAGCTTATTTAAAAAATTGTAACTCATTTCTAGACATTTTTACTTGTTTAAGTAAAACTATGTTGGCAGAGAATTGTGCTTGTTGTAAGAAATCAGCTTGAAACCAGCAAAATTATCTGCCAGTATAGTGAGATAATTTTACTGAATAAAATGACCTGAAACAAGTAAAAAAAATTATGGAAATAAGCTAAGTAATCTTATAATAAGTGCACAACCATCTCAAAATGGGAAATATTAGATAATTCGACTAGATTTAAGATCACTTCACTTGTCAAGAGACCAGTTTTTGCTGTGTAATGAAAACGCAGCGTTAAACAGTTCACGGCTACAGCAGATGCTGAAAATGTACAACTACAGTCTAAAACAAACACACATGCTTACGTCACTACGCTCAGTTCAGTTCTGTTAGATTTAAAAGTTTATTTTTAGCAGTTGCATCTAAACAGTCCTGAAATCTGGGGTTGCAGTGGCCCCCTCAGCACCCCCACCTCCCACAGGCGTGTCCGTCTACACGCTCAAACAGCAAATTACCCTGTTTTGTGGTCAGAATATGTTGTGATGGGATGCTAATGCCAGGTGTAAACAGGGCCGGGGTGTCTCAGATCTGCGAAACCTGGATGCCGAGACAATAACTGACCGTTAGAAATGTTGTTACAAGGTGATTATAAACTACTGCATGCCTACAAAATGTCTCGCATGTCAAAGTGTCCTGATCCCAGCGTTTGTGTGGGTAGCGAGGCTACGTTATCGGGCTTTGCACTGAGACGGTTCAGGTTGTGTTGTTTTTGGGTTGATTGACAGGTTCGGGCTCCAGCTGGGAGCTGCCCGAGGGTCCGAATGAAGGAGGGTCACTCAAGTCTTTCTCATGTGTCCTCACTGACTGTATATGTGGAACGTGTACTGTGACTGCCATCGTGTGGTCAGTCTTTGTAACTGCGTCTCAAAACGAAATAAATGAAATATATAAATAAATAAATAAGCTTGTTGCAAGAGTGTCGTTGGTTATTGCTCTTGAAATGTAAGAGACGCACTTTTACAGTCGAACTGTGGCACTTACAGCTTAAAAGACTGAATTTTGATCACTTTATTTAAGAGTGTGATGTAGTAAGGAAACATTGTTGAAGTTTCCAGTCTGTTGCCAGTCTGAGCTACGAGAACAGGTTTAAAGTTTGTTTTTGTGGTGAATGATGAATATGATCCCTTTAAAAAATTCAAAAATTTCCACATAGTTAAGCAGTTGAGATGTAAACAGAGAGGTTCAGAGTGGTTCAGAGTGGTTTGGTGTGAAACGCTCTGTTCTAAAGAAACTTACTGAGTCAGAATTGATCACAGTGGTGGTGATAGGAACCAGACGTCCACCTCTAAAAGAAATATGAGCCACTGCAACAAGTTATTACGCCTAGGGGGTCCTGGACCTCCTAATTAACCTCTTGGACCCCCTGAATGCCTCAAAATCTAAATTCGTCTGGGTCCCTGATGTCATGCTGTCCATTTGGGGAAAACAGACACTTAAATCCAGATTCAGTGAAGCTCATTGTTTATCTGCTTCACCTACAATCAGCTTCTGTCTCTGTTGGTCTTAACTAACTAGAGCTTTAGAACAACATCATCATCTAACACTTTAAATATAAACTAGATAAATGCAGAGAGGTGCATGGCATTCTGGGAGTCCTCTAAGTGCTCCTTTCCACTCTCTGAATTGGCCTTAAAGTCCAGTGGAGGAGACACCATATAAAATCATACTCATGACCTCTGAACAAAAAACAGAAGTGCCCACAAGGTGTAAAATTCAGGAGGTCCTGCGGGGTCCAGGGCCCCCTAATTAACCTACTGGACCACCTGAATATCTCAAAATCAAATTTCTGGGGGGTCCCTGAAAATAAACGTATTATAAAGTCATGCTGTTCATTGGGGTAAAATAAACGCTCAAATCCAGATTCAGTGAAGCTGATTGTTTATCTGCTTCCCCCACAATCAGCTTCTGTCTCTGGTGATCTTAACTAACTAGAGCTGCAGCACTGCTCTGCCTCAGGGTGGCGCTGTAGCAGACTGGCTCACCCAGTTGGTCCTTCATAGCCTAGAAACTGTAACTCTGCCCGGATTCCTCTGAAAAACTTTACAATGAGCTGCAGCAGATCTGTAAATCTGAAAACTCGCCCAGTTTCCCAAGAGTTTAGAGTGAAGAGTGACTGTTCCTCATTTCTCACACTGAAGACAGAAGAGGAGACGAGAAAGATCTCAGTTACTGTGAGGAAGAGCGCAGAACCGCACTAGAACAGAGACTCTACAGAAGAGGAGACGAGGAAGATCTCAGTTACTGTGAGGAAGAGCGCAGAACCGCACTAGAACAGAGACTCTACAGAAGAGGAGACGAGGAAGATCTCAGTTAATGTGAGGAAGAGCGCAGAACCGCACTAGAACAGAGACTCTACAGAAGAGGAGACGAGGAAGATCTCAGTTACTGTGAGGCAGAGTGCAGAACCGCACTAGAACAGAGACTCTACAGAAGAGGAGACGAGGAAGATCTCAGTTACTGTGAGGCAGAGCGCAGAACCGCACTAGAACAGTGACTTTACAGTGAGTGAGTTAGCAGCCAACATACCACAGTATTCACACACTGCATGAAATGGTTATGAATACACTGCCTGATGTCTGAGACACTGTTTTACGGTAGTTTGTGATAAAGTTTCAGTCTAAAACGTATTTTTAAACTCCATTCATGGTGGAGGGATACATGCAGGGCGCTGTGAGGCAAAATAGTCCCCAAAGAAAACTTATTATTTCAGATGTTCCACTATTTTCCATCATCAACATTCCATATGAACTCAGAAGACTCGTGTAGGTTCACTGGTGGTTCTGTATACACTGCAAAAAATGGTATGTTGTCAAGTGAAATGGTCTTAAATATAGTCAATATTTCTAATATTTCCCATTTTGAGATGGTTGTGCTCCCCTTTTATAAGATTATCTGGCTTATTTAGGGAATTTTTTACTAGTTTCAGGTCATTTTATTAAGTAATATTATCTCACTATACTGGCAGATCATTTTGCTGGTTTCAAACACAGTTCTTACAACAACATTTATTTGTATAGCGCTTTTTACAACTAGTGTTGTCTCAAAGCAGTTTATGGAAGGATCAAAAGAATAGAAAGAAAATAAAATAAAAATAAAAATGAGTCCATTTATACAAGTAAGGAACTGAATCCGGGTCCAAGCCCCCCACGAGCAAGTTAGCAGGCGACATTGGCAAGGAAAACTCCCTAGGAGTGAGAGGAAGAACCCTTGAGAGGAACCCAGGCTCAAGGGAGGAACCCATCTTCCTCGGGTCGATCCCGGATGAAGAGAGAATGACAGAGCTAATGAGATTTTACGACACGATACAACAAAGAAGCTTAGAGCTCGAACACCTTTCAGAAATATTCCGATTCATCCAGGAGGAAGTGATGTAAAGTTAGAACCATGTCATAGGTTCTCTGTCAAAGTGAGAGATAGGGTTCATGATCAGTGCCAGACGCTGGTGGCTCCACTGTGGTATTTCTTACAACAAGCACAATTATCTGCCAATATAGTGAGATAATTTTACTCAATAAAATCACTTAAAACAAGTAAAAAATGTCTAGAAATAAGTTAAATAATCTTAAATTAAGATTATAACAATCTCAACAGGAGAAATATTAGATTTCTGGACTATAATTAAGATAATTTTACTTGACAAGACACCATTTTTTGCTGTGTAGTATATAAATTGTCTATATCTGTGTTGTAGTCATGGCGACCCCTGGTTCCTATCACCACCACTGTAAAGACATCTGAACCATTTCACTCCAAACCACTCTGAATCTCTGTTTACATCTCACACACTGAGTTATGGAGGAATTTTTTATAAATGGGTGGAATTTCCCTTTAAAGAGCGAGTGTTGAGTCTTTCAGTGGAGGGTAAAAGATGCCATTCTTTGCAATCAAACTCTCATAACTTTCATAGTTTTATAGATCGTTTATTGCAGCGTTGTAGTTGTTAGTATGTTTATACAGTGATGATTTATTACATTAATTGTGTGAGATCTTTGCTGTATATCTGCTCTTTTTCCTGCATAGCGATTTTCTCTCCTCAGCTGTTGGTTCACACAGGAGCTACATGTCTGCTCTACTCTGTCTCCTTACTCCCATGCTTCTCTCTGCCTCTCTCCTTCTTTCTCTCTCTCCTCGCCTCTTTCTCTGGGTTGACGACTCTGCCCATGAACAGTGGGCACGCGGTCTGTTCGCTCCAGACGATGAAGACGAAGGGCTGCATGGCGCTGAAGGTGTTGAAGGAGCGAGAGAAGGAGACGCTGCTGGCCGCTGCCGCCTCCACGCCCTGCTCGGTCAGAGAGAGGTACGCCTGGTGACGGCCGTCGGTCAGCTCCACCGGCTCCTCGCCCGGAAACATCGCACACAGATTAGGAGAGTCAAACAGACCCGTCACACCTGAGAGGGCAGGAGAGAAAGGAGGAGAGAGAAAGAGAAAGAGAGGCAATGAGGAGAAGGAGTTAAGGATGATAGAAAGGGTGAGGGAGAGGTAAAGAAAGAAGAGAAAAGAGGCGAGGAAAGGAGGAAGGGGAGAGAAAAGAGCGAGATGGAGGAATGGAGAGAATGGAGGGAAAGGGAAAGAGAGAAAGAACAGATAAAAAAGACAGTGAGGGTGAGAGTAATAGAAGGGAAAGATGGACAGAAAGAAAGAAGAGTATGAGAGAAAGAAGAGGGTGAGGAATGGAGAGAGAGGAAGACCGAAAACAGAAATAATTAGGGAAGAGCGAAAGAGAAAGAAAGAGATAAAAGAAGAGGAAGAGAGTGATATAAGGTAAAGAGAACAAAGAGAGAAAGAGAGAGGTAATGAAGAGAAGGAGTTAATGGAGATAGAAAGGGTGAGGGAATGATATAGAAAGGGGCGAGGAAAGGAGGAAGGGGAGAGAAAGAGCGAGATAGAGGAATGAAGAGAATAGAAGGAACAGAGTTTGGTGAGGAAAAGAGAAAGGGGAAGAGAGAGATAAAGAATAGATAAGAGAGAGAGAAAGAAGGGAGGGTGAGTGAGAAATTGAAAGAGAAATAATTAGTGTAGAGAAGGAAGAAAGGAGGAGAAGAAAAAAGATGAAAAGAAAGTGAGAAAGGGTGATAGAGGGAGAGAAGGAAATAAATGGAGAAGGGGAAAAAAGAATGAATGAGTATGAGAGAAATATATATGAAAATGAGAGAAAGAGAGAAAAAAGAGAGGGAGAGAAAGAAGAGAGTGAGATAGAGGAATGGAGAAAGAGATGGAACAAAGAAAAGAGAATTAGGGGAAAGAAAGAGGGAGAAAAAGAAGTGCATGAGAGAAAAAATGGGGAAGAGTGAAAGGGATGGAGAGAAAGACAAAAGAGTATGAGAGAAATAGAAAATGGGGAAGGGAGAGAAAGGAATGAGGGTGAGTGAGGAATGGAGAGAGGAGAAACAAAAAACAAATAATAAGGGGAGCGAGAGGAAGAAGACGAAGGAGGAGAAGAAGAGAGATAAAAGAAAAAAGACAGTGAGAAAGGGTGATAGAGGGAGAAAAAGAAAAGTGGAGAAGAGAAATAAAGAATGAAAAAGGGAAAGCAAATGGGAAAGAGAGAGGGAGAGAAAAAAGGAAGAGAAAGAAGAGAGTGAGACAGAGGAATGGAGAAAGAGATGGAGCAAAGAAAAGAGCGTTGGGGGAAAGAAAGAGAGATGTAGATGTAAAGTCAGAGACGATAGCTCCTCCGGTCCTTCATCAGTGGTCACAGGACCCACCACCCAAATAGTACCTGCTCTGTGAGGGTCCATGGGGGTCCTGACCACTGAAGAACAGGGTAAAAGGGGGCTAACAAAGTATCAGAGAGACAGATGGACTACAGTCTGTAACTGTAGAACTACAAAGTGAAACTATTCAGCACGACTGTCCAGTGACTGAATGTGTTGCACGAAGCTTTGATTGTCATTTGCTCGGTGTTACTGTCAGTTTGCAAGAAAATTATGTTGCAGGCAACTCACAACAGCTAGTTGCATGGAAGTTTCACCGTCTAAAGCCAGTCTATGGGAAAGCGAGAGTACCTACGTTTAACTGTGCTGCTCCAGTTCTGTAAAGGAGAATAAAACCTGAACACCTGAACTGACGGAGATTCAAATTAGCATAATTTCCTTGCAAACTGACAGCAACACAAAGCAACTCACAAACAAAGTTGCATCTAAACCTTTTATTCACAGAATTCAGCAACTGCCCACTGACCTCGATTCTAGAAGAGCTTTGAGGCTTTTCTGATTTTTTTTAAGATAGTCTTTAGGTAGTTAGTTTAGTTAGAAGATCGCTGAAGCCGAAATGTGAAAAAGAGTGATGGAAATTGGTTTTCGAGTAAACGATGGCGTATCGAGCTGTCAGTGAGAAATGATTGGCTCTACAGACGGTCCAATCACAGAGCAGAGCTTTACGAAGGTTGCGTTCGATGTTCTGCAATGCCTGATCCAAAGCTCGTTTGAAAAATGGCTGCACAATGTGCTCCCAGGTCTGTCTGGTGTGTTTGGGTTCCCAGAAGCGAGGTGGACGTCGTCAGGGTGGGACGGAGATCTCAGCCCTCATTAGGTGGTCTTTGCAGAGCTGCTAACAACACGGCCTTAAAAAGACGGCAATCGGCTGTAAAGATGATTCTGCTTAAAACAAAAACCGAGTTAAATCTCTCCATCTTGCTCGTTTCAATGCCTCTAATCACGATAGCCTACGTCATCTAAAGTTACTCTGCGTAACTGTAGGTCAAAGGTCGCGACCCAAATGTTAAGAAGAGCCATTTTGTCCTTTCAACAAAAATCAATCCACTTTGGGAGCCACAACATTTAATGTCCATTTTACCATCTTGGCTGTAAATATGTCTCAGTATGTGCTGATGGACTAGAATAAGCTAAAAAAATCTAATATAAACAAAAACACAGACGTACTTTGCTCTGCTTTAAGCTTTAGCTCAGCTGTAGCTGCTTTTCTCGCATCTCTGACAGGAAACTTTTCCAAAAGTAGAACAGTTTCTCATAAAACGTCTCTCAACGTTTGACTTTTTACGAGGCTGAAGTCGCTTCTCATTCACCAGCCTCTTGTTAGAATGTTCCTATTCCACCTTAAATGGTGCCTGATATACCAGAACTATTTAAGGTGGAACAGAAAACCATTTAAGGTGGAACGGGACAATTAGAACAAGAAGCTGGCGAATGAGAAGCGACTTCAGCTTTGTGACGTTTTAGTGTTTCTCAGTTTCTCGTTGCAGATTAAACGTATCAGGAAACCAGCTGGAGTGATTATAAACACTAATAAGTCCATTAATCTCCAAATTATTGATGTTCATCTTAAATCTCTCTCTTTGCCGTTTCGTTAGCTACTATCTAGGCGAGACTGTTGTCTGTGTTGCTATGGTGACCAGCAGTCTGTGCTGATCTTCAGGGTTAAAGGGTGAATTAGCAGTTCTACATTAACTCCAGAGTTTAAGACCATTTATTGTTAAACTGTGTTGAACGATCAGCAGAGCTTTATTTTACTGTAAAGGAGGATTATTTTATTTTTACCTACAAATCTGATTCTGCTGTGGAGCTCCGGAGCCACATGTTGCCAACCGGCCTAAGGTCACCATTGGGCTGTGGAGCAGTGGAACTGTGTTCTCCGGAGTGATGGAGCTCCATCCAGTACCTTTGGGCTGAGTTAGATTGATCCAGAGCTGACCATCCAACATCAGTACCTGACCTCACTAACGCTCAATCAAGTCCTCACAGCAATGTTCCACATCTAGTGTAAAGCCTTCCCAGAAGAGTAGAGGCTGTTACTGCAGCACAAACTCTCTATTAATACTAGGAGAAACGCTGGAGTCAGCAAACGTAGAGGACGTACAGGGAAACGAGTTGGCATTATTGTCTGTATTGTAAGTGAGACTGGGTTAAAAAGGGCTGGAGAACTAAGATGTTGAGGAAGAGGATCATCTCACCCATTTTCCTCAGTAAAGTGGCCAGGTCCATGTTCGTGGTCAGTTTGGTCTTGGGCAGGGTGACCTCAGCAGACACAGGAATGACCTTGTTCACCTCTTTCACCATGGCTTGGACATTGTTCTCATCCAGGTTCTCCTCCAGCATTCTGAGGGCGCTCTCTGATGCAGCGTTCGGGACCATCACGTACAGGCTGCTTTTCCCTGTGAGGGGGAATTTCGCCACCTGGAGCAGGACGGATTTCATGTTATAGAGGTTACAGAGGTGTGTGTCAGCGCGGTACACGACCTACTAAAGGTAATAAACTGTCACTGGGTCAGACCCCGTCTAGTCACTGGGGTGGAACCCTCAAGGCTCCATCTCAGTACCTTTAGTCAGGGAACATAACTGAACCATAATCCACTGAAATGATATGTTCTAAGCTGTACTGACTCCACACACCCCGTCTCGTCTCCAGGCTTTTGTTTTACTGTTCTGTTTAAATCATTCGGTTATGAAAAGGTACAAATACGAACTTTTCACCTGGAAAACACTTATTTAAGGTTCACAATCAGACCTTAAAACCACTGTTGGAGCTTTGAGGGAACATTTACACTGTTTGTACCTTGATGAACGAAAAACGTACCAGAAGTGAACCTTTATTTCTGACAGTGTGGAAAACCTGCACTGCAAAACAACAGTGGTGTCTTTGCTAGTGAATCTGTCTTCAGTGTAGTCGATATGTCTAATATTTCTCATGTTGAGATTGTTGTAAGCTTGGTACCACTTTAAAATAAGACTGCGCTTATAAAGGGTTTAAAATGAGTTTGTTAATGGTCATTTCATAGTTCATAGTAGTTCATAGTTCATGGTCAGGTCATAAACACTTTGATAAGCAGTTATAACAAATGAATAAAAACGGAAAAAGTGAGCTATAATATCTGATGGATAAGTATTTGTGATGAGGTCACTGTTGCCTTTTTTATTGATTTGTTATAACTGCTTATCAATGATTTAAGGTCTTTATAACCTAATTAATAACCATTAATAAACTAATTTTTAACAGTTCATGAACCTTCATAAGGGGAGTCTTATTTTAAAGTGGCACTGTAAGCTGAATGCACTTAAAACAAGTAAAATTATCTGCCAATACAGTGAGATAATTTTACCTGATAAAATGACTGAAAATAGGTAAAAAATGTCTAGAAATAAGTTAAACAATCTTACAGTATTCCTGCAATCATATCAATATGTGTAATATTAGATATGTTGACTTGATTTAAATGACTTTACTTAGCAAGATACTATTTTATGCAGTGTGTATATGAAATGAGGAGTGTTGACAAAACATGCACTGCAAGTGAAATGATCTTAAATCTAGTCTATATATCTAACATTTCGCATTCTGAGATGGTTGAGCTCTTATTATAAGATTATCTAGCTTATTTCTGGATTTATTTTACTTGTTTTAGGTCATTTTATTAAGTAAAATGATCTCACAATACTGGCAGATAATTTTGCTAGTTTTAAGCTGATTTCTTACAACAAGCACAATTATCTGCCAACACAGTGAGATAATTGTACTTAATAAATCACTTACAACAAGTAAAAATGTCTGAGAATAAGTTAAATAATGTTATAATAAGTGCAGAACCCTCTAAACAGGAGAAATATTAGATATATTGACTATATTTACAATAATTTTACTTGACAATTTACCATTTTTCAGTGTGGTTAATAATCAGAGTTTTTCTTCACAGCGGTGGTAAAACTGGGGGTCAGTCAGCACTTAATTCGCATGTATGTTTTTCTCACCTGAGCCTTTAATTTGCTGATGTATGTGGTGGCCAGGGTGAATTTGGAGCTGTAGAGAATGGGAACAGACACCAGCTCTCCCGACAGAGTCATGAACTCTCCGTCTTTACTTTTTTCTTCAAACGAGCTCTTCCACTTACCTGCAACACACAGACGAGATTCAGGGGCGGATTAGTGTCACTGTAAAATGGTCTCTTGTCAAATGCAGTGATCTTAAATCTAGTGGATATATATTGTATTTCTCATTATGAGATGGTTGCAAGCTTATTATAAGATCATTTCACTTATTTCTTGCCTTTCTTTGCTTGTTTTAAGTAACTTTATCAAGTAAAACGATCTCGCTGTATTGGCTGATTGGTTTGCTCATTGTAGTAAACATACTTGAAACAAAAACAACATTATCTGCCAATAGAGTAAGATCATTTCACATGAAAAAATTCTTAAAAGAGGTAAAAATGTCTAGATATAAATTAAATAATCTTATATTAAGCTTACAACAACCTCAGCTTGAGAAATATTAGATTAGATATCTGGATTTGACATCATTTCATCTCTTGTCAAGTGAAATGATCTTAAATCTAGTCAATATTTCTAACAATTTTTGAGATGGCTGTGTATTTATTATAAGATTATCTTGATTATTTCTGGACATTATTTATGTGTTTTAGGTCTTTTTATTAAGTAAAATTATCTCACCATGCTGGCAGATCATTTTGCTGGTTTTAAACTCATTTCTTACAGCAAGCACAATTATCTGCCAACATAGTGAGATAATTTTACTTAATAAAATCACTTAAAACAAGTAAATAATGTCTAGAAATAAGATAAATGATCTTAAATTAAGCTCACAACAACCTCAACAGGAGAAATATTCGATTTCTTGACTGTATTTAAGGTAATTTTACTTGAAAAGAGACCATTTTTGGCAGTATGAGTTCAGTAGGACGTGTAAAGCTGCACACAGTTGGAGGAAAAGTAGACAGTTCTGTTTATATGGTATATTTTTGAAAGGGGCATCTTGCTGTAGGCTGATCAGGCAGGACTCTGCTAAAGTGTTGTTTTTTGTGACGTCACAAAAATAATGAATTCTAAACAAGCTGGTTTTACTGAAGACTGAAGAGTCGGGGCTGCACGACTTTAGATTTTTAAAAGTTGATGTGATGAAAGTCGAGTCGACATTGAGAAAAATTTAGAGCACCATAATTTGGCAAAAATAAGCGTAACTGAGTTTAAACTTTACAGGATTACAGGACGTTATGGCCCCTCTACAACAACACAACGTATTATTGTAGTTTTCAGGAAACTGGAGATAACGACATTCAATATCTGATCAGCGGAGACATTAGAATGAAGCCGAACTCCACAGGTCAGTAGAGCGTGACCTGATCTTACAGGAAACTAAAGATGCACTGCAAAAAATGATCTCTTGTCAAGTAAAATTATGGTAAATCTGGGCAAGAAATCTAATATTTCTCCTCTTCAGTTTGTTGTGAGCTTAATTTAAGATTATTTACCTTATTTTTAGACATGTTTTACTTGTTTTAAGTAATTTTATTAAGTAAAATTATCTCACTATGTTGGCAGATAATTGTGCTTGTTGTAAGAAATGAGCTTAAAACCAGCAAAATGATCTGCCAGTATGGTGAAATAATTTTTCTCAATAAAATAACCTAAAACAAGTAAAAATGTCTAGAAATAAACTAAATAATCTCATAATAAGTGCACAACCATCTCAAAATGGGAAATATTAGATGTATCAACTAGATTTAAGATCATTTCACTTGACATTAGATCTTTTTTTGCAGTGTATGAACCCATGAAATCATTTAGCTCTGACCTCACTGCAAAGAAATATGTCTTAGCAAGAGAAAAAAAATCTAGTCAATATAGTGAATCACTGTTGTCAGAGGAAAACCTCGTATCTCCAAAATGGTAACTTTACAGGAGAAGGAAAAACCTACTTTACTTTTAATGTAAGTCAATGGAACCAGACTTTTTACGAGTCATTTTAGGTTGTTTCTTTTGTTCCATTCATCATGAAATTTATACACAATTTAAAGAGCAACAGGCATTTTCAAATTATGTCAAAAACTAGAAAAACGACAAAAATGGAGATACGAGGTTTTCTTCCAACAGCAGCGTCATATTTGTCATTATGAGATTTTTTTTTTTGCAAGAATATTATAAGATTATTTAACTTATTTCTAGAGATTTTTCACTTGTTTTAAGTCATTTTATCTGGTGAAAGTGTCTTATTCTGCTGGCAGATCATTTAATTTGCTTCAAGAAACAATGTTTGAAACAGTAAAATGATCTGCCAACAGAATGAGACACTTTCACCAGATAAAATGACTTAAAACAAGTAAATATTGTGTAAAATAAGTGAAATGCTCTTATAATATTCTGACAACAACCTCATAATGAGAAATATCAGATATATTGCCTAGATTTAAGATGTTTTTACTCACTAAGAGATCATTTTTTTTGCTTGCTGTTGTCTTCTCTCAGCCAGCCATGCATCATAATCACATGATGGGCAACTAGTCAACTAGTCAGTGCGCCCCCTACTGGAGAGTGAAGTGTTTAACAACGTTTACATGCTTCACCAAACTCTTTCATTTCAAACGAGTGAGGAAAACCTGTTTTTCCATGATATGAGCCCTTTCAGCTTCTGCAACAGTGGAACACTGAGATAAAGCGTTGCTGTTGTTTGTTTGTTTAGCCGCAGACACATTAACACATACAGACAAACGGAAAGCCACTGACCGATGAAGTGGACGGCGTTTAGCAGGGCAAACTCCGTCGACGAGTCCATGGACTCCACCAGCTTCTTTATCTTATTCTGCGTTTTCCTCTGCACCCAATCATTGATCATCTTCACGTTCTCCTCGCTGCTATTGGTCAGCTTTTTGGGCACTGTTTCGTAGAACTCCAGGGACTGGTTGACGAAAGCTTCTCCGAGCGCGTGGTCTGAGGGGAGGAGAGAGCAAAATTCATCAGAGGGAATTTATATATATATATATAATATATATATAGTGTGTAAATTACATGATGAATGGACCCAAAGAAACGGCACAAAATTACTTGGAAAAATTAAAATACATCTGTTTCTGTTTTTTTTTTTTCTGCTGGAAGCACTGCAAAAAAAAGATCTCTTAGAAAGTGAAAACATCTCAAATCTAGTCATTATACCTAATATTTCTCATTATGAGGTCGTTAGAATATTATAAGCTATTTCACTTTGTTTCTAGATATTATATACTTGTTTTAAGTCATTTTATCTGATGAAAGTGTATATATAAATATATATATATATATATATATATATATATATATATATATATATAAAACACTGCTGTCAGAACAAAACCTAGTATCTCCAAAATGACAACTTTACAGTAAAAAAAACATACTTTACTTTTAATGTAAGTCAATGGAACCAGACTTTTTTCCGAGTAATTTTGGGTAATTTCTTTTGGTCAATTTATCACGAAATTAAAACACAATATAAAGGCAGACAGGCATTTTAAAGTTTTCAAATTATGTCAAAAAACTGAAAAACGACAAAATATATAATATATATATATATATATATATATATATATATATATATATATACACCCTGCATCTCTTTTTTGCATCTCTAATTGGTTCTTCAGATTGATGGAGAATGTGTTGTACAAGGTTCTTTATAGAACATTTTTGAAAAATGCTTCTATGTAGCACCAGAAAGCGTTCTGCTATTGTATACAAGCTTGGCATCATAACAATAGCACAAGTGCTACATAGAACCATATACAACACATTCTCCATCAATCTGAAGAACGCATGCAAATGGTTCTTTGAGTGTTCATGGTTCTATATAGAACCATTGTCTTTGCTAAAGAACCCTTGAAGAACCATCTTTTTTCCCTATCAAATGCTTGCTATCACAGCGTTCACTAAAACTAACTAAGCGAACACTATGACTTTACTGTATGCTAACACTGCCACAAGCTTTAAGTAAAACATGGAACATGTTTTAAAAGCTTCAAATGTCTCTGTTTAATCTAGAGCTTCTGAAAAATTGTTTGTGCTCAACACGTTAGCTTAGTGCTAACAAACTACTAGAAACTCATAGAGGTGCTAGCAGAGGTTAGAGCGTTCCTCGTGTTTACATTTATGGCTCGAATTGACGGCACCGGCTCTAATAGTCACGATTCATCACTGATATTAACAGATACGCTTAATTAAGGTCTCTGAATGACACTTATTTCCATAAATACACCACAAATTGTTATTTTTATTGTTACTGTAAAGTGTTACACTGCAAAAAATGGTCTCTTGTCAAGTGAAATGATCTTAAATCTAGTCGACATATCTAACATTTCCCATTTTGAGATGGTTGTGCGCTTATTGTAAGATTATTTATATTATTTCCAGAATTCTTTACGTGTTTTAGGTCATTTTATTAAGTACAATTATCTCACTATACTGGCAGATAATTTTGTTGGTTTCAAGCTGATTTCTTACAGCAAGCACAATTATCTGCCAACATAGTGAGATAATTTTTCTTAATAAAATTACTAAAAACAAGTAAAAATGTCTGGAAATAAGTTTAATAATCTTAAATTAAGCTCACAACAATCTCACCAGGAGAAATATTAGATTTATTGACTATATTTCAGACAATTTTACTTGGCACGAGACCATTTTTTGCAGTGTAGCCTTTATTCCTACACTTTTGATCTGCTGTTAGAAGTGAAATTGCTCCATACTGGGGTTGAAGAACATCTGATTGGCCATCAGCATCGACTCCTTGGTCTCCTCTCTCATCTCCTTCATCACCGAGTGCAGGCAGGAGAAATCAGTGGGCAGATAGAGAGCCTTTTCCAGCTGTGTCCTCGTATCTCCTCGAGCACCTGAGCCAGAAGCAAACAGACTCACTGCAAAGCTTTTCTCATTATTTGGTGAAACTGTTAAGGTCCTAACCTTCTTTCTAACCCTTAGCAGTCACAGCTAACAAATCATGCTGTATCTTTATATCGTAGCTCACAGATTCTATACGGGATAAAAGCAGAATGGAAATCTAACTTAACTGTAACTCGGATGAGGAGCAAAACAATTCTGACAACTCTTAACTTAAAGTTAATCCATTTTTATTCTTTTTTTCTGCAAAAAACACTGTGGCTACCTTATTCAGCTGAGCCAGTGAAACGTGCTAAAACAGAACAATGGGTTTGTTAAATAAATAAATAAATAAATAAATAAATAAGTAAACAACAAACTACTAAAGCAGGGGTGTCAAACTAACACTAAAATACTAAAACTAAAACTGTTACTTTACTGTATGCTAACATATAAAAGCTTGAGGTGTCTGTGTTTAATCTAGTGGGCATCATCGTTAGCTTAGTGCTAACAAACTACTAGGACGCTAGCAGAAGTTAGCATTGTCGTAGAGGATTGTTATTTTCTCGTGTTCTGACACAAAAACTTTAGGAAGGTGTGAAAACAGAAAAATTGCTTTATTAAATAAATAAATAAGTGAACAGCAAACTGTTAAAGCAGAGGTTTTAAACTAACACTAAAACACTCAATCAAACTAAAACTGTTACTTTACTGTTTGCTAACATTTAAAAGCTTCAGATGTCTGTGTTTAATCTAATCTTCATGTGAATCATTATTAGCGTAGTGCTAACAAACTACTAGAATCTCATAGGGACGCTGGCAGAAGTTATCACAGAGGTTTGTTATTTTCTAGTGTTCTGACCGAGTTTTACATTTATGGCCTAAATTGAAGGCCCAGCTCTAATAGTCACGGTTCACCACTGTTACTAACGAATACACCAAAAGGGCCATATTAAAAAAAAAAAACACAAATCTGTGGGCCAGAGAACGGAGAACCAATAAAAACACTGCAATGATGCTGCAACTACAGTATAGTAGTTAGGGCCACTGTTAATAAAAATAAAAATGGAAGACTTTGAGAATAAAGTTGCAATATTTCTAGAAAAAAGTCGTAGAATTGCAACATTAAAGTGGCATTAATACCAGGAAAGGTCAATATTGTGGCCAAAGGCTTTGTGAAGTGAAGCAGCACCTCCGCGTGTTAAATGAGGGGCGGTGAGCGGTGAGATTCACCCATAAAGAAACACTCAGTCTCCCTGTCTCTCCTGCACATCAGCACCAGCCTGTTATTAGTATAAGAACCGGCTGAAACAGCTGAGCAGGAAACTGTGTTTATCTAGAATAAAGAGCCAGACGGACTCGGAGGAAACTGTCTGTCTGTGTTGTTGAAGGAGAATCTCAGGCAGGGTCGTCTACACGGCTATCGGGGCTCCATCTCCCCCCATTCAGAGAGGGCATGAAGTTTCACAGACAGTGAGAATGATGATCAAAATGATCCACAGAGAGACAGGAGTGAGTGGAGCTCCGGCGCCAGTACAGCAACCGAGACCCCGACGCGTTATGGCAGCCCCCCTACAGTTAGCCCCCCTACAGTTAGCCCCACTACAGTTAGCCCCCCTACAGTTAGCCCCACTACAGTTAGCCTACTTTATCCTCCAAATAGTACGACTTTATTCTCTAAATATTACAACTTTTTTCTCGAAATATTACGACTTTTTTCTCGAAATATTACGACTTTATTCTCGAAATAGTACGACTTTTTTCTCGAAATAGTACGACTTTTTTCTCGAAATAGTACGACTTTGTTCTCGATATATTACGACTTTTTTCTCGAAATATTATGACTTTATTCTCGAAATATTACGACTTTTTTCTCTAAATATTACGACTTTATTCTCGAAATATTACGACTTTTTTCTTGAAATAGTACAACTTTATTCTCGAAGTCTACTATTTTCATTTTTGTTAACAGTGACGCTAAAATGTCGTTGTACGCAACAATGCAAAGGTGAATTGGAAGCACATTTGAGCAAATTTATGGCATAAACATCATCGATGCACTGTCCTATTTTTGATGCTGCTCATAATCATGATTTTCTAGAATTAGCCAGCTAACTGGCTAACTGGTTAACTGGCTAACTATTCTTTAGGCAAGGCAAGTTTATTTATGTAGCATATTCGTTACACAAAGACAATTCAAACTGCTTTACAGAAATAAAAGCAAAAGGAACATCAAAGGAAACTGGAAAGTGGTAAAGAGTGAAAATCAATACGAATAAAAAAATTAAGTGACAGTAGCTTAAAAAAATTATAAAACCGATAATTAAAAGGAAGTACAAAGTACATAAAAGCAGAGTAAACGCATAAAAGGAAATGAAAGAGGACTCAGGTGTTATTAAAGTTATCTTATTAAAGGTAAAGTGCAGTTTAGAAATAGTGATAGTTTTAAAAATAGTGCAAGTTTTAGAGCTCAGTAATAAACACCTGAGAAATGTTTTTAACGTGGATTTAAAAACCTCCACATGTAGAGCTCATCTAAGATCTTCTGGCAGTTTGTTCCAGCTGTAGCAGCATCACAGCTGAACTAAGCCTTGCAGTGCTGTGATGGTCCTACCTGTGCGCAGGTGAGCTGTGGGCTCTTACCGAGCAGCAGGTGAGAGAGCAGTCCGGCGATGCTGATGGGTGAGACGAGCAGGTTTTGGCCGTGATGTGAGCCCCTCAGCTTGTTGTAGAGGTGGACGGAAAACGCAGTGACCGATTCACCCACTGTGGCCTTCCACGACCTGTTCTCCGGGTCAGGACACGCCTCCCACGGCTGTGTTTGGTTCAAACAGCGAGGGGGTGGAGGAGCTGCAAGGAGGAGGAGTCAGTGAAAAGGCAGAGATTGTTTGATTGAAGTTTTCTATCAGTTATTTTGAAAGGTAATTGATATACCAGTTACACCAGAGAACTTGTAGTAATATCTGTAATGTCTTCCGGGTTTCTCAAACACTAGAGGGCGCTCCTGAGCGAGTCCAGAATGAATGGGCTAAGATGGAGCATTTGACCAAAATTATAGTTTATAAATGATTAAACATTTTTAATGTAAAAGAATTCATTCATTTCCTGAACACAGAACAGCATAAAACACCTTAACACTGCTGTTATATTTTTAAGAGCTTTTAAACTCGAGTTATAGGAGTTTAAAACAGTGCCTCATGTACGTCTGTGACACGAACAGCCAATGAGCTGCTCCACTCGCCAACCAATCAGCGCTCAGTAGCAGTAATGTTAACCAATCAGCGCTCAGTAGCAGTAATGCCAACCAATCAGCGCTCAGTAGCAGTAATGCTAACCAATCAGCACTCAGTAGCAGTAATGCTAACCAATCAGCCCTCAGTAGCAGTAATGCCAACCAATCAGCTCTCAGTAGCAGTAATGCTAACCAATCAGTGCTCAGTAGCAGTAATGTTAACCAATCAGCGCTCAGTAGCAGTAATGTTAACCAATCAGCACTCAGTAGCAGTAATGCCAACCAATCAGCACTCAGTAGCAGTAATGCTAACCAATCAGCCCTCAGTAGCAGTAATGCTAACCAATCAGCCCTCGGTAGCAGTAATGCTAACCAATCAGCCCTCGGTATCAGTAATGCTAACCAATCAGCCCTCGGTATCAGTAATGTTAACCAATCAGCGCTCAGTATCAGTAATGTTAACCAATCAGCGCTCAGTATCAGAAATGTTAACCAATCAGTGCTCAGTAGCAGTAATGCTAACCAATCAGCCCTCGGTAGCAGTAATGCCAACCAATCAGCGCTCAGTATCAGAAATGTTAACCAATCAGTGCTCAGTAGCAGTAATGCTAACCAATCAGCCCTCGGTAGCAGTAATGCCAACCAATCAGCGCTCAGTATCAGTAGTGTTAACCAATCAGCGCTCGGTATCAGTAATGTTAACCAATCAGCGCTCGGTATCAGTAATGTTAACCAATCAGCGCTCAGTAGCAGTAATGCTAACCAATCAGCCCTCAGTAGCAGTAATGCCAACCAATCAGTGCTCAGTAGCAGTAATGCTAACCAATCAGCGGTCAGTAGCAGTAATGCCAACCAATCAGCACTCAGTAGCAGTAATGCCAACCAATCAGCACTCAGTAGCAGTAATGCTAACCAATCAGCACTCAGTATCAGTAATGCCAACCAATCAGCACTCAGTAGCAGTAATGCTAACCAATCAGCACTCAGTAGCAGTAATGCCAACCAATCAGCACTCAGTATCAGTAATGTTAACCAATCAGCACTCAGTAGCAGTAATGCCAACCAATCAGCACTCAGTAGCAGTAATGCTAACCAATCAGCCCTCAGTAGCAGTAATGCCAACCAATCAGCACTCAGTAGCAGTAATGCTAACCAATCCGCCCTCAGTAGCAGTAATGCACCATCAGACTCAGTATCAGTAATGTTAACCAATCAGCGCTCAGTAGCAGTAATGTTAACCAATCAGCCCTCAGTAGCAGTAATGCCAACCAATCAGCACTCAGTATCAGTAATGTTAACCAATCAGCGCTCAGTAGCAGTAATGTTAACCAATCAGCCCTCAGTAGCAGTATGTACCATCAGCCCTCAGTAGCAGTAATGCCAACCATCAGCACTCAGTAGCAGTAATGCTAACCATCCCCCTCAGTAGCAGTAATGCCAACCAATCAGCACTCAGTATCAGTAATGTTAACCAATCAGCGCTCAGTAGCAGTAATGTTAACCAATCAGAGCTCAGTAGCAGTAATGCTAACCAATCAGAGCTCAGTAGCAGTAATGTTAACCAATCAGAGCTCAGTAGCAGTAATGCTAACCATCAGCTCAGTAGCAGTAATGTTAACCAATCAGCGCTCAGTAGCAGTAATGTTAACCAATCAGAGCTCAGTAGCAGTAATGTTAACCAATCAGAGCTCAGTAGCAGTAACGTTGGCGTCTGTTTGCAGGAGAAAAAGGAAACATTCAGGTGAGTTTTCTTTGCTTTCTTAGTGAAATTCATTCTTCTACTCTCTTAAATTTAAGGAAAGTTCTGGTTCAGTGATTAGAAACTATTTTAACTTCTCGTTTTCAGCCGTTGAGCTCCATTCACTCCCATTCATCGAGGACTCGCTCGCAGGCGCCCTCTGCTGTTTAGCAGTCCTGTTTTTGATATAATGGGGGATATAGGAAGAGCCCAGACTCCTCATAAACCAGCTCTGGTTATACCTGACCAGTAAGCATGGTTCTAACTGCAGGGGGCGGTGTAAAAAAATTGAACTCTGCAAGTAATTACAAGTGTGTTTACATGCACACCAACGATCCGATCATTATCAGATTTCTGCAGTTATCTGATTATGAAGTGTTCGTGTAAACAGCACACTGTTATTTCTTAGATCAGATTAAGGTGTATAAATCTGATTAGGAAATCTGATAAAGAGGCTGATCTGAGCTCAGTAATGGGGTTTTTCAATGCATGTAGACTCTCACTCTGATTTCTTTCGTTCCTCTCAGTCTGAGCATGTGTGAATACAGATCACCGTCCCAGAAACAACGAGCAGTGTTTAACACAGCACCCGCGAGACCAACACAGCACTTTTGGGGTAATGTATTTTCATATTTTCTGATAAAGTGCCTCAGGGTAAAAAAAAAAAGCCACATTATGGCATTTAAGTTTCACATTACATTTACATCACGTCTTCTTCTGTGAGTTTATTGGCTGGTTGTAAAGCAGAAATCTGATTACTGTCTCATGTAGACCTGGAGTTCCCCCATTATCTGATTACTCAAGAGCAGGGCTGCCCAATCCTGGTCCTGGAGATCTACCACTTTACACAATTATCATATTTTCTAAGGAGAATTTTTTTCCTGTTGGCTGTTTCTTCCATCATCACCTCTGGATCTTGTTTGCTAAAATTGTTTTAAAAGCTTGGTTTTTACTCCATTTTGCTCCTCTGAGTGAATTAAACTAAATAACAAAAATGGTTAATACAAATTCAGAATGCATCTTGTGTCACTTATGGTACAAGGTAAAATGCAACATAGCTGACATAAGAAAACAATGAAGATTTTCTCAAGAAAATCCTAAGAAAATAATTAAAATTAAAAGGGAATATTTGAGATCATTCTTATGAACTTTTTAGTGTTTGACTTAAGATCCTTGCTAAGTTTTTTCTGAGGAAAGCTTTTAACCTTTTCAACTCCTTGAGACCACCGGTGGTTCCAAAACGCACTTTGTCATATTCTTTCATATTTCATAAGCTACATTCTAAAGGTGGGGGTCGTATGAGAGCTGTAACTGTCTTCTTTCCAGTCAAATAGATGGGTGATGTAATTTTAAACCCTTATAATAAAAGAAGCTGAACTCATAGTTTATTTTCTACTGAAAGTCGACCCATTTTTCACAAATCTTGGCTATAAACTATAAACAGATGGCGTCTCTTCAGTGATCTGCTCTGTAAACATTATTTTATAAAATAATACAAAGAGCGTCTAAGATTTTTGGCTTTCAACAGTAAACTGTAAGCATAGAGCAATATGTGGATCATAAAACACGTTCTGTTAATTTGAGGGCAGCGTTTAAAAAAATAAATAAATAAATAAAATAAAAATGTACATTTATTTCATGCAGTTACTGAATAATTTGCCTTACGATTTGGTCATGTAAATTCAGATGGACAAACCAAAATATACCCTGGTCAATAAGAGTTTAATGAATCTGGCCTCAGATTGTTGAGTGCATGTAAACTCACTCACTGTGTAGCTGTTCGTGTGCGTAATCTGTCATATGATTCATCCAAAACTGATTTGATTTTGCTGCACATACCTGCTAAGTGCGAAAGCAGAGAGGACGTTTAACTTACGCTCCACAATCAGTTCCACCAACACCATCTCCTTCTTCGACCCCACTTTGACCCCACAGTGGTACAAATCTGCATCCTCCTGTCTGACGTCAGTAATCTCGATGGACCAATCATCTACATCAGCTTTAGAAGCCCAGGAGATCCGGCTGGCTGCTGTTTTGCTCCCCTTCTCTTCATCACTGCTCTGGCTTTTTTCCATAATTTTCAGCTCTGTAAAGCCTTTCTCCCCTTTGGACCATCTGGCGGTGGTGTCGCTGGTGTTGGTGCCCGGTTGGAAGACAGGATGGCAGGGGAGCAGCGCAGTGCTGCCCTCTGGTACAATGACGACCCACCATTTGGCGAATGCGGGAATCTCTGAGCAAGAGAGGAGGATAAAGATCAGCACAGGCCCACCTGGCTCTACATGCTTCACCTGCACTTCTCAGACCAACATTAACACTGAAGCCAATCCTTACGCATGAAGCCTTTTACAAATTTAGGGAATTAAAACAAACTGTATGTTATTTTAAATGCCTCCCAAAAATGGAGTGTCAGTGTTGCGTGATCTGATGTCAATCTTCTTCAGTTCTGTTGGAAAAGCATCTCAAGGAACAATGGGCCTCATTCACCAACCGTTCTTTAGAAGAAATTTCTACTTAAGCCCACTTACGCAGTTTTAATGACGATTCTGACATTTACCAGTGTTCTCTTAAGTGAGTCTGTTTTTTTGTCTTTATGCTTCAAGTCTGTTTTGACACTTCAAGTTTATTTTTCACCTTTAGTCTGTTTTTTATTTTTGTGCTTTGAGTCTGTTTTTTATTTTTAGGCTTTGAGTCTGTTTTTTGCGCTTTGAGTCTGTTTTTTATTTTTAGGCTTTGAGTCTGTTTTTTTATTTTTATGCTTTGAGTCTGTTTTTTTTTATTTTTGCGCTTTGAGTCTGTTTTTTATTTTTAGGCTTTGAGTCTGTTTTTTTATTTTTGCGCTTTGAGTCTGTTTTTTATTTTTAGGCTTTGAGTCTGTTTTTTACGCTTTGAGTCTGTTTTTTTAATTTTTTGCTCTTTGAGTCTGTTTTTACGCTTTGAGTCTGTTTTTTTATTTTTGCACTTTAAGTCTGTTTTTATTTTTAGGCTTTGAGTCTGTTTTTTACACTTTGAGTCTGTTTTTTTTTTATTTTTTGCTCTTTGAGTCTGTTTTTTATGCTTTGAGTCTGTTTTTTTATTTTTGCGCTTTAAGTCTGTTATTTATTTTTAGGCTTTAAGTCTGTTTTTTATGCTTTGAGTCTGGTTTTTTTTTTTCATTTTTACGCTTTGAGTCTGTTTTTTACGCTTTGAGTGTAAAAGTGGTGGGCGGGGTTTAGCTTTAAATTAACTAAAGTTGGGCCAGTTGGTTTTTAAATATTAATACTGCTAGCTTGTTTTTATTTTGCTCGTCTAGTTGTCATCAGTAGAATAAATCATAGCAATATGATGTCATTGTCTTCCTTTAGTTTTGTCATTTATAAGCTTTAAATTTAATTTAATGTCAATTCAGTGATCTTTATAGAGAGATGAACAAAAATGTACAGCTCCTGCTCTATGCCTCACCTTGAACTTGTAAGTTGAACCTCCTCTTCATCTTCACCAGGCCGTATGATGACTGAAACTTGATCACACATGTGTACAGTCCGGTGTGTCGGAGCTCCACTGGCGTGAACTGCAGCTCCGGCTCGGTCGAGTTCAGCTGCACGTCTTTCCCTCCCTCAGACGTGAAGGTCCAGGTATAGCTGGGAAAGAGGAAGTCCTCATCAGGGTCTCCAGGGCAGGTCAGCATGAAGTTGGAGCCCACAGGTACGGATATATCAGGCGCTGAGTACGAGAACTGCAAAATAAGGGCTTTGGATCAATCATTTGTTAATAAATTAACCTTTACATCATGTCTTTTATTATGTAATGTAGTAAACTGAGGAATTGAGCAGCCTGTAACTTACATCACTGGTGAAATATTTGAATTCATAGATTTTTTTTTCATAATTAAACATTTAAAGTATTAAAGCATTTACCAAAAACATGTTAGAATACACAAAAATTTAAGGACAATCAAAGCAATCTTTAAAAAAGTGTATACTCATACATCTTGAAATACTTATGCAAGTTCACAAACCACCTTTTGTCTTAATAAGACTTTCAATCACAAGGCTTGTAAAAATAAAACCTAAAATATTAAAATATACACCACTGCCACTTTAGCACAAGCCATATATATATATATATTGTCTCCAACGCTCTGCTGATCAATAACTGCAGAGTTCAGACCTCCTCTGGTATCAACATCAACACAGAAACTGCACTGGGAGCTTCATGGCAGGGTTTTCATGGTCGAGCAGCTGCATGAAGCCTTACATCACCAAGCACAATGCCAAGCGTCGGATAGAGTGGAGTAAAGCACCGCCACTGGACTCTGGAGCAGTGGAAACGTATTATGTGGAGTGACCAATCAGCTTCTCTATCTGTCAGTCTGATGGACGAGTCTGGGTTTGGCCAGGAGAACGTTACCTGCCTGACTGCACTGTGCCAGCTGCACAGTTTGGTGGAGGAGGGATGATGATATGGGGCTGTTTTTCAGGGGTTGATCTAGAACCCTTAGTTCCAGTGAAGGGAAACCTTAATGCTTCAGCACCAAGACATTTTGGACGATTATATGTTTCCAACTTTGTGGGAACAGTTTGGGGAAGAACCTTTCCTGTTCCAGCATGACTGAGCCCCAGAGCACAAAGCAGCTCCATTAAGGCCTGACTGGGTGAGTTTGGTGTGGAAGAACTTGACTGACCCTCACAGAGCCCTGACCTCAACCCCATCAACACCTTCGGAATGAACTAGAACGGAGATTGTGAGCCAGACCATCTCGTCCAACATCAGTGTCTGACCTCAAAAAAGCTCTTCTGGGTGAATGAGCACAAATTTCCAAAGACTCTCGAACATCTTGTAGAAGCTTCCCTGAAGAGTGGAAGCTGTTAATATTTTTGTCCATAGTATATATAAATATTTCCCCAGTATGCTAAAACAATTAATACATGGCCTGTGCTAAAGCAATGACACAATATATATTTTATGTTTTTATTTTTTTCTCCATTATCTTAAATTAATCAAATAAGCAAAAATTGTGCACTAAAATTTGCAGAAAAGTGAAAATAAGTTCAAAGAACACACCTAAATATGGCATTTTTCTATTTTTAGTGCACATTTAGTATCAATTTTAATGCACAGTTTGCTACATTTTAAGTTTTTTTTCTCCAATATATTAAATTCAGCAAATAAACAGTAGCTGCAGAGATGTGTCCCTGTAGAGGACGTCTTTATGATTAGGGCTGCCCAAACAAACACTCATGTAATGAATTATTAATTACAGATCATAAAAACACATGCACTGTAGTGAATATTAATCTTTATTTATACATTTATAGTCACTACAATTAAATTCGCCCTAGTTTAGTCCTGTATGATACAATCCAGATCTGAGGCTTGATTTAAAGTCAAAAATAAGGGATTTACAGTACAGGATTATGCAAATGACCACAGTTTCCTATCAGGGGGTCCTTATTTATAGGATTTTCCACACAAACTACTATCGCTGATGCTTGGACCCCTTTAATTAGCAGTTATAATTACATATTCTAGCTTAATTGTATAGAAAGTTTTCAGATTGTTCGGACAATTTGATTTATACTCGAAGCTTCTGAGTGTATCTATTTCTGCTCGGTTCACTATAAAAGCCTATCAGTGTTGTTTGGTGTGTAATGCTGAAGGATCTTTAGACTTTAGAGCGCTTTGCTAACAGACGTTCTGCAGTGTTGTTTGTTTACTTACCCCCAACAGCAGCAGGAGGATGATACCACGCAGCATAGTGTCGCAACCTGTTCGGTTACATCACAAGAGAGAAATTAATCAATACCTTTCACACACACACACACACACACACACACACACACACACACACACACACACATACACACACACATATACACGTTCTCTTACAACGTCAACACTTATTGTGACTAAGACGTTGTAGATGCAACAAACATCACCAGCATCCATTCATTTATTTTGGCATCTTGTCAAGTGAAATGATCTTAAATTTAGTTGATATATCTAATGATATATCTGAGATGGTTGTGCTCCTATTATACGATTATCTAGATTATTTCCAGAATTTTTTACTTGTTTCAGGTCATTTTATTGAGTATAATTATCTCACTGTACTGGCAGATAATGTTGCTGGTTTCAAGCTCATTTCTTACGACAAGCACAATTATCTGCCAACACAGTGAATAAAATTACTTAATAAAATTACTTAAAACAAGTAAAAAATGTCTAGAAATAAGTTAAATAATCTTAAATTAAGATCACAACAATCTCACCAGGAGAGATATTTGAGTTCTTGACTGTATTTAAAATAATTTTACTTGACAAGGCACCGTTTTTTGCATTGCATGAGATATTTCTGATGAGATTAGATATAAAAATCCACATGCATGAGGAAGGAGAGAGTTAAAGTGAGCATAAGTAAAAAAGTAGAAGTTTTCAAAACTGCCTGTCTGTAAGTTTGCCCAGTTTAACCCAAGTTTAACCCCTTAAATGGTCACCAGCAGGCCCAAGTCTTATTACACACGTCTATAATCTGAGAACAGCTCAGCCAGTTTGCACTGAAGTCCCTGTAGTAACTGAATAATAAGCCTTAGTGTGTAATAAGCCTGAGATTTTAAGGGGTTAATATTTAAAGAAAAAGCTCTCCCACACTGACTTACCGCAGCTATTTGTTTTATTCCTGCTAATTTAGTGACTAAGGCCATTAAAAGCTTAATGTTTTGCCGTTTTATCCCTTTTTTCTTGGTCACACTATATGGTACTTATAATTTATAGAGTACTATACTTATATGGCCCCTATAGATGATCTACAGATACTTAAATCATGATTCATGAAATCATGAAAGTTTTTTCCTGATAGTTGATTATCAACAACATTATGGTTGGGGTTAGGTTTACACTCTTACAACACATGGTTCCTCAAGGGTTCTTTAGTAAAGAAAATGGTTCCATATAGACCAAAGAACACTCAAAGACTCCTTTACATGATTAAAGGGTTCTTTGCACTGCAAAAAAAATGGGATATTGTCAAGTAAAATTATGTTAAATACAGTCAAGATCTCTAATATTTCTCCTGTTGGGATTGTTGTGAGCGTAATTTAAGATTATTTAACTTATTTCTAGACATTTTTTATTTGTTTTAAGTAATTTTATTAAGTAAAATGATCTCACTATGTTGGCAGATAATTGTGCTTGTTGTAAGAAATCAGCTTGAAACCAGCAAAATTATCTGCCGGTATAGTGAGATAATTATACTTAATAAAATGACCTGAAACACGTAAATAATTTCCAGAAATAAGCAGATAATCTTATAATAAGTGCACAACCTTCTCAAAATGGGAAATGTTAGATATATCGACTAGATTTAAGATCATTTCACTTGACAAGAGACCATTTTTTGCAGTGTGCATGGTGAAATGGTTCTTCAGATTGATGGAGAATGTGTTGTATATGGATCTACATAGAACCCTTTCTGAAAAGGGTTCCATTTAGCGCCAAAAAAGGGTTCCACTATTGTAACAAGCCAAAGAAGCCTTTTTTGGTACTATATAGAACCCTTTTTGGTAAAAGTGTAGGTGTAGGTTTTGCCTTAAGGTCCAGTTTAGGTTTAGGGACAGATTTAACTGAATTTTCTTATTAAACTTCAAGTTGAGTTGCATTTGCTAGATTTTTACCAGCATTACAGTAGCAACCAATGAACACATTGGTGGGCGGAGCCTGGATAGGTCAATAATATAGGCTGTGTATCTGTTTGTGTTCTCTTATACAGGTGGTGCCAAATACAGTACTGAGCAAAAGGAAGCACCCTTCGTTTAATTAATGACCAGTCAGAACAGCCATCGGGAACAAGCTCTTCATTTTTAGAAGATATTTCTGAAGAAATTAGATACAAGACCATGTATTTACATAATGAAGGAGAAAGATTAAAGCAAAAAAAAACAGGATCTTAAAAGCTACAGAGAAAATGGGGCTCCTAACAACGACTGGGAAGACCTGGTCGACCCCAAAACTGCCCCCATCAGATAAACAGCACTTAAAGCTTTCATCTCTGAGAGAGAGGAGAAAATCAAGCTGCTTCAGATCTGAAAACATCCACAGGTGTTTCTGTCCATCCTTCCACCGTGAGAAGACGACTCAGCGCTGTGGGTCTGAAAGGATGTGTAGCTGATCAAGAAGAACCTCACTGAGAAAAGGAGACGGACACATCAAACAAAGAAGCTGAACGATGGACTGACCGCCCCAGAGTCCAGACCTCAACACCACTGAATGTGTTTGATTACTTCAGAAAATGATCAACCAGCTTCTAAGACTGAGCTTTGGAGGTGTGTCTGCAGATTCTTTGAGGAACTGAAAGTGAGTCTCCTGAACAGAATGGAAGCTGGAATGAAAGGTGAAGAGTGACAATCTGACCCCTCACACGGCTGAGAGTACATTTAGCTGCTGAAGCTTCTTTCTTGGTGCTGAAAAATGAATAACTTGTACTAAATGTTCGTTTTGTCTGGAAGTGAAAAAGATAAGGGCTCTCTGACTTTTGCATAGTGTCATACAAATCTAAAAGGGGATGAGGAAGGAAGGAAAGCAGCAGCGAATGAGGAAGCTGAGCGAACAGTGCTCGAAAACAATCACATCAGCCCACAAAACGGCTCCAAAAAGCTTCCAAAGGTTTTCAGACGATGCACACCAATCTACACACTGCAAAAATGATGTCTTAGCGAGAGAAATCATCTTAAATCTAGCCAAAATATCTCATATTTCTCATTATGAAGTTGCTGTAAGAATATTATAAGATTTCTAGACACTTTTACTTGTTTTAAGTCACTTTATGTGGTGAAAGTGTCTCATTCCATTGGCAGATCATTTGACTTGTTTCAAGAAATAATGTTTGAAACCAGTAAAATGTTCTGCCAATGGAATTAGACTCTTTAATTACACTGCAAAAAATTATTTATTGGTAGGTAGAATGATCTTAAATCTAGTCTAAATATCTAACATTCCTGATTTTAAGATTGTTATAAGCTTAAGCTTAGATCATTTAACTTATTTCTTATGTTTTAAGTAATTTTATCAAGTAGAATTATCTCACTATGTTGGCAGATTATTGTGCCTGTTGTAAGAAATGAGCTTGAAACAAGCAAAGTTATCTGCCAGTATAGTGAGATATATTATACTTAATAAAATGCCTAAAACAAGTAAAAGAAATCTAGAAATTTGTTTTATAATCGTATAGTATTCATTCAACCATCTCAAAAATGTTAGATATTTAGACGAGATTTAAGATCACTTCACCTTTAAAGATAACATTATTTGAAGTGTATTAAATAAAAAAAACATTAAATAAGTTTAATAATCTTAGAATATTATGAAGACAACCTCATAATGAGAAATATTAGATATATTGACTATATTTAAGGTGTTTTCACTCACTAAGAGATCAATTTTTACAGTCTGCAGAGCCGAGAGATCTTTACACTGAGCTTTAAAGATAAAACTCCTCCTGCTCTATATGCAGCTTAGCTTATCGCCATTTATTCAGAAGTGCTACATTAACCTAATATCTATGTTTAAGCTGGATATCTGTTAGTTGTAGGCAAAGCAAGTTTATTTATACGGCACATATCACATTCTTTAAAAAAGATGGATCTATAAAGAAACTTTTCAAAAAGGGTTCTATATAGCACCAAAAAGGGTTCTTCTATGTTCAAGCTTGACATTGTAACAACAGCAGAACCCTTTTAGATGCTATATAGAGCCATATACAGCACATTCTCCATCAAGAACCATTTCACCATGCAAAGGGTTCTTTGAGGGTTCTTGGTTCTATATAAAACCACTGTCTTTACTAAAGAACCCATGAACAGCCTTTTTTAGTGTGTACACAAAGGCGATTCAACATGCTTTCCATAAATAAAGACCTAAATAGTCACAAATAGTTTAAAATAGTTTAAAAATATAAAACTAATCATTAAAAGAAAGAGTATAAAAGCATGAAAACTAAAGAAACAGGGTCTCATTCTCCAACATCTTTCTAAGTTTGTTCTTAAGTGTGTTCTTGAGAAAGGTTCTAAGAAAAAGTCTACGTCAGATTCATGACATAGCACAGAACTGCACAGAACTGTTCTCACCTTTGTGCTCTTGAATGTGTAGATTCTGTTCTTACCTAAGAACAAATCCCAAACAAGAAAACACTGGTGAGTCAGAACTTTCATAAAAAAAGTGGGTTTTAAGAAGAAATTTCTACTTAGGAATGGTTGGTGAAGGAGGCCGTAAGTGCTTAAACGTCATTAAAGCTTATTCTAAAATAAAGTGCAATAATAATAAAGAGCTCAATTATAGGTACTAAAAGAGAAATGTTTTTAACTAGATTTAAATATCACTGTATTTGGAGCTCATCTAAGATCTTCAGGCTGTTTGTTCCAGTTGTAGCAGCATAACAGCTAAATGGAGCTTATGTAAGGCACACTGCAAAAAATGGTCTCTTGTCAAGTGAAATGATAATAATTCTAGTCAAAATATCTACTATTTCCCATTTTGAGATGGTTGTGCACTTATTACAAGATTATTTATCTTATTTCCAGAAAATTGTATTAATTTTAAGTAAGTTTTATTCAGTAAAATTATCTCACCATACTGGCAGATAATTTTTGCTGGTTTTAAGCTCATTTCTTACAACAAACACAATTATCTGCCAACATAGTGAGATAATTTTACTCAATAAAATTACTAACAAGTAAAAAATGTCTAGAAAAAAGTTAAATAATCTTAAAATAATCTTACAACAATCTCAACAGGAGAAATAATAGATTTATTGACTATATTTAAGATCATTTTGCTTGACAAGACACCATTTTTTGCAGTGTAGTTATAAAGTAAGTCATTATTACATTAGGATTTAAATACTGTCAAATGTGTTGTACCATATAAACTAGTTTTACTCTGAGCTGTGCTAACGTTTGCACTAATGACCAATGAAATTAGAAACATTACAGATTAGAGGTGCGACTGAATTTAGTAAAATCATAGTTTTAGTTAACTAATATTAAATAAGGACTCTAAGTGAATGGTTCTTTGGAATGATGGAGAATGTGTTATATATCGCTGTTGTAGGAACAAAACCTCGTATCTCCAAAATAGTAACTTTAGAGAAGAACAAAAAAACATACTTATATTTTTAATGTAAGTCAATGGAACCAGACTTTTTTTGAAGCCATTTTGGGTCATTTCGTTTAGTCCATTTATCCTCACATCTACATACAATGTAAAGGGCAACAGGCATTTTCAAATACGTCAAAAACTGAAAAACGACAAAAATGGAGATATGAGGTTTTCTTCCGACAACAGCGATATGGTTCTATATAGCACCAAAAAGCGTTCTGCTACAATTATCAGCTTTAAATCAGAACCCTTTTGGTACTATATGGAACCATTTTCAAAAAGCTATTTTAAAGAACCATTACAACAGATTCTCAATCTGAAGAACCATTTAAGCATAACGCAAAGAGTTTGGGTGTTCTTGGTTCTATATAGAACCACTGTCTTTACTAAAGAACCCTCGAAATGTTTTTTTTTTTTCATATTGATGGAGAATGTGTTGTATGGTTTTATATAGAATCTTTTTGAAAATGGTTCTAGGTAGCATCAAAAACAGTTCTCCTATTGTATACAGCTTGAAATCACAACAACAGCAGATTCCTTTTTGGTGTTTTATAGAACCATATACAACACATTCTCCATCAATCTGAAGAACCATTTCACCATGAAAAGAATCACTTAAGCATGCAAAGGGTTCTTTGACTGTTCTGGGTTCTATATAGAAGCATTTTCTTTACTAAAGAACCCATGAAGAACCATCTTTTTTGTACAGTGTACAGTAATGTGCGCCTGTTTAAAACAACACTATGTGTTTGCCTTTAAAAACACTAGATAATAATAGAATAAATACAAATAAACATAAATACAGAAAAAGTAACAAGAAATTCTTGCTTTTAAAAAATTAAAATGTTATGAGCTGATGTGAACAACCGGCACACCTGGTTTACTTTAATAAAGCACATTAATATACCCAAAATCACTTATTCACTACAGAAAATGGCATCTTGTCAAGTGAAAGTATCTTAAATTTGTTGATATTTCTAATATTTTTTATTTTAGGATTATTGTAAGCTTCTTAAACGATTGCTTTACTTATCTCTCAACATTTTTACTTTTACTTAAAGTGATTTTAGTAAGAAAAATGATATACTTTTTAAGTGATTTAAGATAATTTCACTTGCCAAGAAAGCTTTTTTGCAGTGTTGCATTAATAGTATTTGTATTTATTCTAATATTAGTGTTTTTCAGAGCAAATAAATGCTTTTTGTCATAATAACATGTTTTGGTTGTAAAACCTTCACACATTTCTGTGCAGACAAGCACCCCAGTGCTGCTCATTTGCCGTCTCACCTGAGCGCCAGACCACCTGATGCGAATGATAGCTCAAAAACGTTCTGGAGACGAGGCTGTGAGGCTGGACGTGGATGTGTGGATGTGAGAAAGTGGGGTTGAAAACAGGACACAGAAGAGAAAATACTGTAAAAACAAAAGAGAAAGTGAACTTACCAGCAGCAGCTGCCACAGTGTCCCCCAGAAGTGTTTACAGTGTGTCTGTGTGGCAGTGGGGTAACTCTAGCGACCCCCTAACTGGATCTCTTCTTCTCCACTGATTGGTGAATTATTACTCAAATGTTTGTTGGTTTGGAAGTTTCTTTATTTGCACAGTTCCTTTTTACTGAAAGTCACATGACCACAGTCTGGCAGTCCTCCCTGTTCACTGCTGGAGCTCTTATTTGAAGGTAGACGACTGCCACAGACTTCCAATCACATTAAGCTGCTAGAAAATGGTTCTTTCTGAGTGATCAACATGTACTGCTTGTTTTACTGGTTTTCTGAAGCACATGAGTCACGTTTGTAGCAGAGATCCTTCCTGACTGACTGATGTCAGCTTATATGTAAACAGTGAATTGTATGTGTAAAGTAATGTGTGGTGTTCCTCAAGGCTCTCTTCTGGGACCACTGCCATTTTCCATATACACTGCAAAAAATGGCATCTTATCAGTAAAATTATCTTAAATGTCATTAATAAATCTAATATTTCTCCTGTTGAGATGGTTGTGCACTTATTATAATATTATCTAGTTTATTTTCAGACATTTTTACTTGTTTTAAGTAATTTTATTAAGTAAAATTATCTCACTATACTGGCAGATAACTGTGCTTGTTGTAAGAAATGAGCTTGAAACCAGCAAAATTATCTGCCAGTATTGTGAGATGATTTTAATTAATAAAATGATCTAAAACAAGTAAAAAATCTGGAAATAAGCTAAATGATAAGAGCACAACCATCTCAAAATGGGAAATGTTAGATATATCCACTAGATTTCAGATCATTTCACTTGACAAGAGACCATTTTTTGCAGTGTAGTAGGGGGTCCTACTAAGTCCTGGTAGGGGGCGAGAATTGGCCATGACTAATTTGGGAGAAACACCATAGTAAACGAAGGATTTACACTTTGACTGTAAGTGTATTGAAATTTATGGACAATGTTTGTCACCCTGTGCTGCCAGACCGTTTCAGGTTTTGTTTTGTTTTGTTTTTTGCAGCTTTGGCATTGGCTTCACTACTGATGACACACACTTTATGCCATCAAAAGCTGAGTGATCACACATCGAATCTTAATGGTTTCTCTGCTGCACCAAGTGCAGATATATTGATTCTAATCTCTCATTCAAACTACAGATAGGCAATACAAACAGAACAGTCACATAAAGAACTGAATTTCACTCAGTGTGGAGTTCCAGTAAGAGTTTAATCAGGCTTCACTGAGTCACTCAGTCACAGTCCTTACAAGAACTAAACTGTTTGATAGATCACCCTGTTTTATCAACACTGCACTGGCTGCCAGTCAAATTCCAGATCGATTACAAAATACTGCCAATAAAACTCTAAACAGCCTTGCCCCTCGGTATCTGAGTGAAAACATGATATCTAGGCAAGAGAACTCATCTTAAATTCAGTTGGTATATCACATATTTCATTTTGATGTTGTTGTAAGTATCTCATAAAATTATTAAACTCATCTCCAGATGTTTTTATTTGTTTTAAGCAATCTTTTATAGTGAAATTGTCTTATTGTGTTGGAAATAATTTAGCTTATTTCATGCATTATTTACTCAAACAAGCAAAATTATCTGCCAATAAATGAAACTGATGAAATGTCAAGAAATGAGTTGAATAATTGTACGATATTCTTACAGCAATCTCAAAATGAGAGACATTAGACATATTCAGTAAATGTAAGATGTTTTTACTTGGGAATATATTATTTTTGCAGTGAATTCCTATTAATACTGAATTATAAATAGGTTCACTCTCAAAAACCTCACGTCTCTAAAACGGTAACTTTACAGGAGAGTGAAAAAACGTTCTCACCTGTAATGGAGGTTCACCTAAAATTATTTTTGGACCGTTTCTGTTGATCTGTTCATCATGAAATTTGAACACAGTGTAAAGGGTTACTGGTGCTTGTACATTATGCAAAAAAGTACAAAATGGACATACAAGGTCTTTGCGCGTCAGCAGCGATATTAGCCTAGGCTGAAAATGTACTCGTTTAGCCAGTCCAGTGATAAATATACAGACTCCAGATTCAGATTTAAGAGGCGTTCAATTGAGGACACAAAGTAATCTCCATGGAAAAGCACTGGCAGTAGAATGGGACGCTGTGGAGCAGCCAAAGGTCACTACACCCAGCAGCACACATCAGCTAGAGGGCAGTAAAGCTCCCCAGTTCTGGATTTTTGAGAATCATGTGGAGTCACGCTTTTTTAGGTTAATGACACACTGCATTCTTTTGGGATGAGTCGGAGTGATGAAGCGCCATTAAACACTTTTAGGATGTGTTGAAATGATGAACCTCCACTGAGCACATCAGGAAGAGGAACACACATCTGGGAAGAGCTGGAGAGATACACCTCCACGGAACACTTTGGATGAGTTTGATTGATGAAGCTCCACTGAACACTTTTTGGATGAATTGGAAAGATGAACCTCCACCAAACTCCTTAGGCATGAACTGGAATATTGGAGCTCCACTGAACACCTTTGAGATGAGTTTGATGGATGAAGCTCCACTGAACACCTATAGGAAGAATTGGAAAGATGACCCCTGTTGTTGGACATATAAACCTCAGCTCTACTGAATGAGTTGGAGCGATGCTCCTTTCATCTTTAAGATGAGTTGCAATGATGATGTTTCACTGAACACCTTTAGGATGAGTTGGAGTTATGAAGCACCACTGAACACCTTTGGGATGATTTGGAGTGTTGAGGCTCTGTTGAACACCTTTGAGCTGTGCTCGACTGATGAAGCCCCACTGAGCACCTATGGGAGGAGTTGGAGAGATAAACCTCAGCTCTATTGAACAGTAATGGGATGAGTTGATGAACACATCTTCAGAAAAAAAAGACAAATTGATTAAATTAGCCAATGTCGTTGAATATTTTGCTCTGAATGCATTGTTAAAATCAACACACACACACACACACACACACACACACACACACACAAATCAACAAAAAAAAAAATTAACTAAGTCAAGTCTCATGTTTTAGAAACTGCATTTGGAATCACTTGGAATTGTCTTAGGGGCAGCACGGTGGCGCAGTGGGTAGCGCTGTTGCCTCACAGCAAGAATGGCCTGGGTTTGATTCCCGGCCGGGTGACCAGGGTCATTTCTGTGTGGAGTTTGCCTGTTCTCCCCGTGTCTGTGTGGGTTTCCTCCGGGTACTCCGGTTTCCTCCCACAGTCCAAAAACATGCAGTCAGGCTGATTGGACATGCTGAATTGCCCCTAGGTGTGACTGTGTATGTCTGTCTGTCTGCCCTGCGATGGACTGGCGACCTGTCCAGGGTGTATCCTGCCTTCCGCCCAATGACAGCTGGGATAGGCTCCAGCACCCCACCGCAACCCAGAAGGATAAGCGGTTTAGATGATGGATGGATGGCATTGTCTTCAATAACCATGTATACAACCTTTTCAAATTTCATAAGTGATATGAAAAATATGAATTACAGAGTATAGACACCAAATGTTTTATGTGTTTTTATTCAATATTTCAAGGTCTGTGGGAACAAGAAACCTTATTTACTCTTAAAATCTCTTTTTTTTACATACTAATGCTTATTATTCAGGGACTTCAGCGCAAACTGAGGTTATAGAAGTGCATAATAAAACGTTGACCCTGGGCCCTGACCGTTTAAGAGGTTAAATGATAAATGAAAATACTGTAGTTATCGTTTTATAGTCATTTCCTTGAGATTTTATCCCCACTTTTCCAAAGCAAGGCATTCTGGATGTTCATTTTAGTGTAACTTCATTCTAGTTGTTATAAAGCTTTTATATTCTTCTTGTACAGTCAGATCACCATTATTTACATGGATCTGCAGCTGTGCTGGGTTAATATTGCTGAAAACACATTTTTGCATGTTAAACGGGTGTTTTGGTCCTAGTAAAATAACTGTGTGTGGTGGCAGGATGCAAATTAACACCGAGTCAAGCGCTGCAGTCGTTGCTCAAAGTCTCTGCAACTGTTATCCTGAACCGAATCTGGTCTTGTGAAACTACTTTCACTTCTCCAAATTCTTCTCCACTCACTTCTGCAAGTCTCCCTGGCAAAACATCTCTGCACAGAGTTACTCAACAGCACAAATAATACAAATGTTAGATTTTGCTTTGCTCAGCAGAAATCTGTTATTTATAGAGAAGAGATTTGCAGATAGAAACACACTTTGTAGCGTTTTCCTGCAGTGGGCTGCAGCTGGAAGGGCATGTTTGACCTGGCAGCTATGCTGTGGTGCAGCTCCAGGTGTGCGTGTGTGTGGGTGTTATCGGATTGTGACGCAGGAGAAGCTGGACGGAGGACTGAGGCGCTTATCAACTCACACTACAGCTGCTAGATTGTTTCCAGTAGAAAAAGCCGAGGCTTCGGGGCTGAAATACAGCGCTGTGCAGGAGTCAGAGAGCACCATTCACTTATTTAATGACCAGTCAAAACAGACATTAAGCACAAGTTATTCATTTTACAGAAACCGTATTTAACAGAAAAGCCTCAACAGCTAAATCTACTCTCAGCTGTGTGAGTCAGTGTGTCACTCCTTCCCTTCATTCCAGCCTCCATTCTTTTCAGGAGACTCACTTTCAGTTCCTCAAAGAATCTGCAGACACACCTCCAAAGTTCAGTCTTAGATGGTTTAGCATTTTCTGCTTCTCGGATCCAAGTAATACCACTGCCCTAGCAACATTCTTAGCAACCACCTGGGATGCCATAGCAACAGCCTCATAACACCTTGACAACCACTTGGGATTCTAGAGAAATGGCCTAGCAACATCGTAGCAACCACCTGGGATAACATAGCAACAGCCTAGCAACACCTTTGCAACCAGCTGGGATTCCACAGTAATGGCCTAGCAACCGCTTAGTAACCACCTGGGATGCCATAGCAACAGCCTAATAACACCTTGGCAACCACCTGGGATTCTAGAGTAATGACTTAGCAACATCGTAGCAACCACCTGGGATACCTTAGCAACAGTCTAGCAACACCTTGGCAACCAGCTGGGATTCCACAGGAATGGTCTAGCAACGCCTTAGCAACTACCTGGGATACCTAGGCAACCACCTGGGATTTCACAGTAATAGCCTAGCAACACCTTAGCAACCACCTGGGATAACATAGCAACAGCCTAGCAACACCTTGGCAACCAGCTGGGATTCCACAGTAATGGCCTAGCAACATCGTAGCAACCACCTGGGATACCCTAGCAACAGTCTAGCAACACCTTGGCAACCGCTTAGCAACCACCTGGGATACCATAGCAACACCTTAGCAACCATCTGAGCTTTCAAAACACATTCAGTGATGTTAAAACAGATGGTTCTTCATGGGTTCTTTAGTAAAAACAATGGTTCTATATAGAACCCCGTTTCCCAAAACATTGGGATACTGTGTAAAATGTAAATAAAAACTGAAAGCAATGATGTGCAAATAATTTAAACCCTATGGCCTAGCAAACACCTTAGCAACCACCTGGGAGACTATAGCAACAGCCTGGCAACACCTTAGCCACCACCAGGGATTCCCAAACACAGTGGTGTTGAGGTCTGGACTCTGGGGTGGTCAGTCCATCGTTCAGCTTCTTTGTTTGATGTGTCCGTCTCCTTTTCTCAGTGAGGTTCTTCTTGATCAGCTACACATCCTTTCAGACCCACAGCGCTGAGTCGTCTTCTCACAGTGGAAGGATGGACAGAAACACCTGTGGATGTTTTCAGATCTGAAGCAGCTTGATTTTCTCCTCTCTCTCAGAGATGAAAGCTTTAAAGGGGAACTCCACTGATTTTTCTAATTTTCTGCATAATTAAATGGTTGAGATGTAAACAGAGTGGTTCAGAGTGGTTTGGTGTGAAACGCTCTGTTCTAGATAAACTTACCGAGTCAGAATTGTTCACAGTGGTGGTGATAGGAACCAGACGTCCACCTCTAAAAGCTCCCTCACAGAAATTTACTACATGAAATGGTTATAAAGTCTGAGACACTGTTTTATGATAGTTTTGTGATAAAATTTTGATATTATTTTAATCCATTCATGGTGGAGGGATACATGCAGAGTATGTGAGGCAACATATTCCCCAAAGAAAACTATTATTATTTCAGATTTTCCACTGTTTTCCATCATCAACATTCCATATAAACTCAGAAGACTCGTGTAGGTTCACTGGTGGTTCTGGATAGTAAATAAAATGTCTATATTTGTGTTGTAGTCATGGCGACCCCTGGTTCCTATCACCACCACTGTAAAGACATCTGAACCATTTCACACCAAACCACTCTGAATCACTCTGATTTACATCTCACTGAATTATGGGGGGATTTTGGAGCCCTGTTTTCTCTGCAGCTTTTCATCAGTTTCTTCACCTTGATCTTTCTCCTTCTTTACGCAAGTGGATTATTGAACCTCCTCACAAATATCTACTGAAAAATGAGGAACTTGTGCTCAGTACTGTATTTGGCACCAACTGTATAAGAGAACACAGACAGATACACAGCCTATATTGTTGACCTATCCAGGCTCCGCCCACTAATGCGTTCATTGGTTGCTACTGTTGCAGCAAGTTTACAGCATGCTGGTAAAAATCCAGTTAAATCCAATGATTATAATTGCAGATTAGAGTCACTACATAACATTGGCTGTGTTTACATGCAAAAAGGTTCTCCAATCTGATTGAATATATTCTGATTACAGATTCAGACTGAGGTGTTCATACTCACTCTGCTCAACAATCTGATAAAACCTTCTGTTTACATGCTCACTACAAGAAATCAGATCCAAAATAATGTGCATGCGTAGAGAACCACTTAGTGTATACGTTACCATGACAACCAGCATCATGTGAGTCAAGTCAGAGTGAGATGAGCAGCAGTGAGCAGTGCTTGTGTTTTTAATTACTTTAAAATGATGTCAGACTCAGGAAAACGTCCTTCACATGTCCTTATTAAAGAAGGCCGAGAGGAAGACGTCGTGTTCTGAGACACATAAGCTGGACGTCTGTCCCACCGCCGTCTTTTAAAGATCAGAGCATAAACTTCGTCTCCTCTGCAGACCAGTTTCTGCTCCGCCATGTTGAACGTTACAATCTTTCACTATGACGCGACGAACATGATCAGAACGGACTTAAACTTTCCGATAGGGAATGTAATCAGATACAGGCGTTTACACGGATATTATTCTTCTATTTTAACAGATTATTTACAGGATTACCCACCTCGATCAATCAGATAGAAACTGTATTCCGAATGGACTCAATTAGACTAGACTGTTCTGATTGAGACATATACATGGACGTGTTCTATTCTGATTGAGCTATTAGTCGGATTATTAATGGATTATCAGGCCGCATGTTAACGTGGCTACTGAGTCTCCAATGTTGAGTTTAACATGCTACACCACACCATATTAGCCACCATGCCAACGTTAGCTTGACTACAGATTATATTAAATCATAACATATACAATGTAGATTTAAATATTACAAACTATTCACCAAAAGGTATTTTTACTCAATATTTCAAGTATTCATCACAAAAAAATTATATAAAATATTAAAAATACAATGCAGTTATCTATTTAGAATAATTTCCTGTCAAGTTAAAGTGATTTGATCACCACTTTTGACACGCAAAGATTTTTTGCAAATTTGCATTCTGGATGTTAATTTTATTATAGCTTAATTTTCAGTTTATATTTCAATAAAAAGAAGTCAAAATTAATTTTTACATTAACGCTGTCCAACCTATTTTAACCCTTACCCTGCGTTCATACCGGCAGCGACTTTTCATCTGTTGCCGCCTAAACCGCTGAACGCTCATCGCCTATTGACGTTGTTCGCCATGGTTTCCTGCTAAAAATAAAAATCCTGGTGAGAAATCGTTTGTGTGTATTTACTCCCCGTCTCTGTGCAGTCAGTCTGTGAGGAAAACGGTATTCGGTTTTTGTGATTACTGTCTATTTGCGGCGAAAGCACCACCACCATATTTCATCTCACCACATGGCTTCACTCCTAGTTTGCATAAAGTTAAACTTCACTTAACTTTGTTGCGTCGCTGACTCCGCCCACTTTCTGTCAGCAACGTTGGTGCTGCCTCCTGTTGCCGGAAATCGCCAGCTCTTATTGAAAATGACCTCCGGCCACTTTGTTGCATTGCGTCGTTCCCGGTGTGAACACAGGGTTAGAATTAACCAGGCTGTTTTTGTTACTGCACCTTTAAGACTGATGTGTGTAAATGAGCTCTGTTCTGATTGGCTGCCCTGTATTATGCCTCATTCATTGAGCAGAACACTCCTAACTTCTGCCTGAATGGGCTGAGTTAAACTGCTGTAGCCTTATATATGTAAATGTGTTGGTTTTAGTGACATCACAAAAAGAATGAATTCCAAACGGGTTTATTTTCCGTATATGAGATGCATAGACTGAGTATGTTTTGAAACTTTAACTGTGTTTATATATTACATCAGACTCCTTTATTTAAAAGCGATTCAGTTTTCATGATACAGGCCCTTTAAGGGCTAATTTATCTAATGAAGTCTTGGTAGTTAATGTAAATGAGCTCTTTTCTGATTGGCTGCCCTGTATTATGCCTCATTCATTAAGCAGAGCATATATCAGCCCTTATAACTTCTGCATGAATGGGTGGAGTTAAATGGCTGTAGGCTCATATATGTAAATGTGTTGGTTTTAGTGACATCACAAAAACAATTCCAAACAGGCTTAGTTTCCATATATGAACTGAGTGGACTGAGTACTTTTATTAAATAAAAAAAGGGAGGAAAATGATCTGAAGTCTTGGTAGTTAACTGGTAGAAGGTTTAGTTCAGCTCACTGTGTGTTTATACATTCAGGACAAATTCATCAGTGTGCTGCTTAAAAATACATGATTTTTTACAGTGATATAAAAATGTTTACAATAAACTCCGCCAGTCTAACGATGGTGGCGTTTTACAGATTTACTTCACAGTCTGCCAGAATGTGCAAACAGCATTAATCAAATAGGTGCACATGTAGATTATAAATAATAATAACAGTAAAAAACTGTACATTCAACAGTATTGATTTATGTCTCTATAAAAACACATTCACTCCAAATTTCCCTCACTGCACACGTTCGCACAGCCAGGGCAACTTCAGCCTCTGCAGTGATAAACAGTAAGTGTGCAGGCAAAAGTTTGGACTCGTCTGATTGGACGTTTGTTCTTCATACGCTGTAAAAATGGCTCATCAGATCAACCCAAAAACAAGTTTCATTCAACTCAAAACATTCCAGTGATTGAAAAGAATGTTCATTCAAAGTATTTAGGTTGAATAAAACCAGTTAATTTACCTGTTACTACATGAAGTCATTTTTTAGGTTGATCTGACGAGACATTGTTTACAGTGTTACAGTAATCTTAAAGGGAAACACCACTGCTTTTCCAAATTTTCTGTATGATTCAGTGTTTGAGGTGTAAACAGAGAGATTCAGAGTGGTTTGGTGTGAAATGGTTCAGATGTCTTTACAGTGGTGGTGATAGGAACCAGGGGTCGCCATGACTACAACACAGATATAGACATTTTATTTACTATCCAGAACCACCAGTGAACCTACACGAGTCTTCTGAGTTTATATGGAATGTTGATGATGGAAAATAGTGGAAAATCTGAAATAATAAGTTTTCTTTGGGGACTATTTTGCCTCACAGCACCCTGCATGTATCCCTCCACCATGAATGGCGTTTAAGTTCTCAAAACTATCATAAAACAGTGTCTCAGTCATCAGGCAGTGAATTCATAACCATTTCATGTAGGAACTTTCTGTGAGGGAGCTTTTAGAGGTGGACGTCTGGTTCCTATCACCACCACTGTGAACAGTTCTAACTCGGTAAGTTTATCTAGAACGGAGCGTTTCACACCAAACCACTCTGAACCGCTCTGTTTACATCTCAACCACTTAACTATGAAGTCAAGAACAAATAGGGAATTTAATGTCTATGTATGAATTTATATCCAACATCTTCAGTCCTGTTGTAAACGCATCACAGGAGGCTCCTCATATAGACCACTCTAAAAAATCTGAAATAGGTTTTTGAAATAGACTTTTTAACCCACTGTATGATTCTGTTGTTATGATGTTATTTCATGTTTGTTTTAATGCAACAACAAATAAAACCTTAATTTATAACACAAATCCAAACTTTTGACTGTACCTTCTGGAGACTGAAGTGAAACAATCTAAAAAAAGTGGTCTTTTGCATCTCAGCCCAACGTTTATAACCCTGAAGAACAGTCAGTTTGTCTGCGCTGACCCCGAGTTCTGATATCTGATGTTCGGATGAGGTTTTAAACACAGCTGAATCAGTGCTAAACTCCATCTGACCCATGCTTCACTCCAAGGTCACTGCACGGCCTTTCTGCTTTTCACTTCTGTTCTCAGCTCGCGTTTTAACGAGCTCGGTGAAGATGATTAATGCAGACATAATTAGGTTATTAATACTCATTGAGCTAATTTAGATGTGTTCAGATGTGATGAAGTTGAGAAATATTTGCTTTACAGTGCAGAAAAATTTGGCCTGCTATAAACATAGTGGATCAAAAGTGGACAAAAGTACAAACAAAACTCAGACTTCAAGAATGCTAATACTATTTCACGCTATGCTAATGTACTTCTGACCATTATTTTCTATCACAAACCACATAATCAAGTCTATTAGAGATACTGAGCACCTTCACACAGTCTGAGACCAGAGTGTGATGATTTAGGCCTGCAGTTTCCACAATGCTAACTGGCTAACGCTAACAAGCTTCCATTAATTGTCAGTTACATTAGCCTAGTAGCTCCAGTGCTAAAACTAAACAAGCAAACTTCACCAAACACGTCTTGGCTGAGCATTTAGGATAAGACTGGGTAAATATGATTGTTCGGCAAACTGTCACTTTGATGTTGCCGCTCGAGTCTTTGCAGCTGAGAGGAGGGTTATGAACGGAGGCCGTGAGGACTGAAGGTTCTTAAAGGATCCGCTGTCCCTCCACGCTGGACTTCTGAATGAGCTGATTTGTGGATCTTCTCGTTAGAACGAGGCGACGACGTGCTTCTGAGTTTGTCCTGGTGAAGCGTCCGCTCTTTAAGCCTGTGGGTCAGTTCCTGTAGGTCATGCTGGAGCCTGTGGTACTCCCGCAGAAGAACCCGCCGGAACTGATCCTCCTACAGAACACATACCAGTTCACACTGGAGTTAGAAAGGCTTAAGAAACCAGTATGAAATATTTAGTGTCTAATATGTATTATTCAGTAATTACTAAAAATGATTCATCACTACTATAAATTATTCAGCATCTATTATGACCTATTCAGTATTTACTAAGACTTATTTGTAAACTCTAATGAATTATTCAGTAATTTCTATGACTTGTTCAGTACCTAACATTAATTATTCAGTATCTACTATGAATTATTCAGTAACTACTTTGAATTATTCAGTATCTACTGTGAATTATTCAGCAACTACTATAAATTATTCAGTAACTGCTTTGAATTATTCAGTATCCAATATGAATTATTCAGTAACTACTAAAATGATTCAGTGTCTAATCTGTATATACTATGAATTATTTGGTAATTTTTATGAATTATTCTGTAACTGCTTTGAATTATTCAGTGTCCATTATAAATCAATCAGTAACTACTATGAATTATTCAGTATCTACCATGAATTATTCAGTATCCGCTATGAATTATTAATTTACACTTGGATCTTATTCTAACTGTGACTGTAACACTGTTGTCAGTCAGTTTCACCAGACAGGCTGTTAAGACTTTGTGCATCAGTATATGATCTATAGAACGCCATCCCAATAAAGCAGGTCTGATTTAGTATCTAATAATGACTCCTCACTATTAATGCCATTATTAATATCACTGCTCTGTCCACCAGTAAGATTCCCTGCCAGGCCAAAGCTGCAGGTGAAGTCAGTGAAGTGCTGATGTCAGTGGACTGTAATGAGTTTAAGTCCACTCACTCTGACTTGCTGTGTTGTTGTTGGTGCTTGGCGGCGCCGTCTCTTGGGCTTGGCGCAGTATTTCTCCAGGTGCTGCAGGTCGCAGCCTTTAACGCAGCACTGCTCCACGATGCCGTTACCCCGAGAGCGGGGGCCTCCATGCCGAGCCCCTCCGACACGACCTGCTCACACAAACACACCAAAGCTCAGCTTACCAGAAAATCTACCCCTAGATTAGTTAGTCCCCCTTAACCACCCCCAACTTACACTCTTAAAAAAGACGGTTCCTCAAGGGTTCTTTAGTAAAGCCAATGATTCAATATAGACCCATGAACACTCAAAGAGCCATCTGCATGCTTAAATGGTTCTTTGCATGGTGAAATGTATCTTGATGGAGAGTGTGCTGTACATGGTTCTATATAGAACCTTTTTGAAAATAGTTCTATATAGCAACAAAAAGGGTTCAGCAGCAGAACCCTTTTTGGTGCTACATAGAACCATATACAACACATTCTAAATCAATTTGAAGACCTATTTCACTAAGCAGAGAACCATTTAAGCTTGAAAATGGCTCTTTCAGTGTTTATGGTTCTATATAGAACCTTTATCTTTACTGGAGAACACTTGAAGAACCATATTTTTTTAGAGTGTACTCTAAATATAGTTGATCAACCAAGACATGTTTGATGTCTGAAGTTTGTTTTTTAAGCTTTAGCACTGCAACTACGAGGCTAATATGGCTAACATATAAAGGAAGCTTATTAGTATTAGCATAATTAGCATGGTGCTCACTGCAAGCATATATCGTTCTGCTGACTGTTTTCCACTGCTGGTCCACCCTCGGACCACCCAGATTACTGTCCTGCATACAAGCCCTAACTAGTTTTTAATCTCCTCAAAAAGATTTTAAATGCACAGAGACTTTTATTTTCCAAAAAAAACAACTGAGAGAAAAAAAATCATGACTAGGCCTGATATAAAATGATTTTATAGAAAATGTTTCTGACACTGAGCTCGATTAAAATAATTTACTAAACTAATTTACAACATAAAACTAAAGAAACGATGGAAGGAAAAATCAGTAAATTGGGCTGTGAGTGGAATTTTGTCTAATACTCTGCGTAAACACCGGTGGGCCACCCGGAACACGCTGAGCAAAACGCCAGTGGACCACCAGCTTTGCCATCAGTGGGCCAACAGTGGTCCACTATCCTCCTGCCATGAGGGTCAGTATCTCTAATAGACTTGGCATGCAGTTAGCACCATGCTAATTAGTGGGGCATATGCTTTCATACTTGTTAGCTACATTAGCCTCGTAGCTCCAGTGCTAAAACTAAAGACACACATTTCAGACATCAAACATGTCTTGGATGATTGACTGGATTTTGAGTATGGGGGGCTGTAAATTCAAAATTGGCAAAATTGTATAATTTATTTTTTTCTTTACTTTCCACTTAAACTTTTCCCGTAAAAGACTTTACACAGTTCTGTTAAAGTAAAGGGAAAAAATAATGGCAGAAATTCATTTAAATTTTTGATGTACGGGCTTCTAAATTTGCACTTTGGCGCGTGTTTGAAAACTGACTTCTAAAGCAAAGATGCACAAACAGGGCTACGAAACATCACAAGACAAATTCTCATGTGCACGAAGGTCTCAACGCCTGTAGATGAATACTGGACCCTTCTGAGGAGCTTGTTTTGCGAAAAATATGGAGGCAACAACACGAGACTGACAATATTTAATTTTTCATGCAATTGTTACATTGATAAGGCCTATTATTGAAGCCTTTATCTCTCTGGCTGTGTCATTATGTTCCCATACAGATTCATGCAGCAGAGAGAGAGAGGGAGAGAGAGAGAGAGAGGGAGAGAGAGAGAGTGAGAGAGCGAGAGAGAGCGAGAGAGAGAGAGAGAGAGAGAGCGAGAGAGAGAGAGAGAGCGAGAGAGAGAGAGAGCAAGAGAGCGAGAGAGAGAGAGAGCAAGAGAGCGAGAGAGAGAGAGAGAGAGAGAGAGAGAGAGAGAGAGAGCGCGAGAGAGCGAGAGAGAGCGCGAGAGAGAGAGAGCGAGAGCGAGAGAGAGAGAGAGAGAGAGCGAGAGCGAGAGAGAGAGAGAGAGAGAGAGAGAGATGGGTTGGATGGTGGCCTTGGCTGAGGAACAGGGTGAAAGGGCTCCGAGGAACGAGAGAAAACTCTGACGTCAGCAGATGAGGATCAGAAAAGCAGAGAACATGACAGAATGGTGAGATTATTTGGTTGTTTATTGAGGATACATTATCAGAAGTAATTCCGCACTGACCACAGCGTTGTTCTATAACGTCCGGCTATCAGAAATGACTGTATGACCGGTTTGAGTGCCACTCCTGAGCGCTGAGGTGGCAGCGGCAGGGCGCGATAACGCCCGTGTATCTCAGTATGTTAAGGTCAGTTTTCATGGTCTGATGTAAACTGTTGTGATTATGAGCTCCGGCTGAAAATAACTGTGTAGCTAACATCCATGAACTGAGCGCTCCCTTCAGTGCTGTGCTGGCTGTTTTCCACAATTACATTCATATGTGACAAATATAAAGCGGATATAAGGGAAATCCATATATTGCTGTTGTCGGAAAAGAAAAATGGTAGCTTTACAGGAGAAGAAAAAACCTACTTTACGTTTAATGGAAGTCAATGGAACCAGACTTCTTTCCAAGTCATTTTGGGTCATTTCTCTTGGTCCATTGTTCATGAAATTTGGTATATGAGGTTCTTCTGACAGCAGCGATATGCTTATATACACCAATCAGGCATAACATTATGACCACCTCCTCGTTTCTACACCCATTGTCCATAGGTGCACTTTGTAGTTCTACAGTTACAGACTGTAGTCCATCTGTTTCTCTGATACTTTGTTAGCCCCCTTTTACCCTGTTCTTCAGTGGTCAGGACCCCCATGGACCCCCACAGAGCAGGTACTATTTGGGTGGTGGGTCATTCTCAGCACTGCAGTAACACTGACGTGGTGGTGGTGTGTTAGTGTGTGTTGTGCTGGTCTGAGTGGATCAGACACAGCAGTGCTGCTGGAGTTTTAAACACCTCAGTGTCGCTGCTGGACTGAGAATAGTCCACCAACCAAAAATATCCAGCCAACAGCGTCCTGTGGGCAGCGTCCTGTGACCACTGATGAAGGTCTAGAGGATGACCAACACAAACTGTGCAGCAGCAGATGAGCTATCGTCTCTGACTTTACATCTACAAGGTGGTCTGACAAGGTAGGAGTGTCTAATAGAGTGGACAGTGAGTGGACACAGTGTTTAAAAACTCCAGCAGCACTGCTGTGTCTGATCCACTCGTACCAGCACAACACACACTAACACACCACCACCATCCAAATAGGACCTGCTCTGTGAAAAATTTGAGACTTTTCCACACTTTCACATTTCGCTGCTGTCAGAACAAAATTGAACACCTTGTATCTCCATGTTCATCGTTTTTCCGTTTTTGACACAGTTTGAAAATGACTGTTCCTCTTTACACTGTGAGTAAATTTCGTCATGAATGGACCAAAATAAATGGCCAAAATTATTTTGGGAAAAAAGTCCACTGACTTACATTAAAAGTAAGGTACGTTTTTTCCTTCACCTGTAAAGTTACCATTTTGGACATAAGAATTTTTGCTCCGACAGCAGCGACATACACAGAAGCAGCAGGGGGCAGCATGCAAATCAGAACGTCCAGAAAAAAGCGGAACAGTCTTGCATTTTTCCTCTTTCTCTCCAAGAATGAACACTAAAGACGTAGACCAGTACTAGAGCAAATCAGTCATCCAACGCCCACCTACGACGCTTCGCACTGCGCTGAACAGATGTTAGCTTGAATAAAGGAGCCGTAGACTGAGAGAACACAGTGCTGAGATAAGGACGTTCATCACTCTCCTACATGGTGTTAGTTAAGATCAGCTGAGTGAGAAACTGCCACAGAAAATCACAACGATCTGGAAAAAACAAAGCAAATTATTGTGGTGCTCAGCCACCGGTGGGAGCGTGAGAGGCGTGGCCATGCAAATCAGCCATGCACAGAGCATCTTGGGAAGCGCGGTGTGTGTGGTGGGGAAGACTATTCTTGTAGATAAGTTGTTGATATTAGTTGAAGATGCATGTTTATCACTGAACTTTAAAATCTGCTGAAATGTGCTTTTCTTTTTGTTTACCTCTGTAAAATCCTCGCTCTCCACACACAAACTCCAGGTCCGCGATGAGCTCCGCTCCGCACCGGGGTTTAGCTGCATCCCCGAGTTCTGGCAGCACCGCAACACACAGCAGTACGCAAACCACACACACGCTCCTCCAGCACAGCACCTGTTCAGGAGAACCAATCACACACCTGCAGAGTTATCACAGCCCTGAGATACACTCCTCACACTCACACATGCTGAATAACACACACACACACACACACACACACACACACACACACACACAGAGCGGCATTCTTCAACAATCAGCGCAGTGCTGTACGGCCTGATAATGCACTGATTTCAATGTACAAACTCATGGCCTTCAGTCACCACCCTGAGAAATAAGATACACACTGCTCCTCAAGAGTTTCAGGACACTTCGCTTTCTAATGTGCCTTTCTTGTTGATTTGCCAAAAACTTAAAGGTTACATATCATGGCAAACCAAACTTTTCTTAAAAAAGTTTGATGTAAGATGTAAACACTGCTGAAGTCTCAAAACATGCCAGTCAAAACAGTCTGTTTCTGTGAGGTCACAAAAACCAACATACATCCACCAATTCGGCCTAGAGCCATGTGGCTCTGCCCACTCCTACTGAAGTGAAAAGGAGTGTTTATATGACTGGAATATGTAAATGAGCTCTATTCTAAATGGCTGTGCTTCATTCAAAGCTTATTTATTTACATTCTACCACTGTTGTTGGAAAAAAAACTCGTATTTCCAAAATGGTAACTTTACAGGAGAAAGAAAAAACCTACTTTATTTTTCATGTAAGTCAATGGAACCAGACGTCTTTCCAAGTCATTATAGGCCGTTTCTTTTGGTCCATTCATCATGAAATTCACACACAATGTAAAGGGTGACAGGCATGTTCAAATTATGTCAAAAACTGAAAAACGACAAAAATGGAGACAGAAGGTTTTCTTCTGACAACAACGATAGATCAGTCTTAAAGGCACAGCAACAAAAACAGCCATCATGTAAAAAAGCAATGACTGTTTTTTGGTACATAAAACCACACAAATATTATAAGTGGACATCAAAAATGTAAGATTTAGAATATAAGAAATCTGCTAAAAGCCCTAAAAGCACTCATAAGCCACTTTACCAAAACTAAAAGCTAATTTTTAATAAACTTTGTGAAATGTTTTTAAGATGTGCTTCGAACCTTTAGATCTAAAATAAATCTAAAATGTCTTTTTGAACATAACTAATAAATGTTTCTAGCTGATCTTATAACACTGCAAAAAATGGTCTCTTGTCAAGTGAAATGATCTTAAATCTAGTCGATATATATCATATTTCCCATTTTGAGATGGTTCTGCACTTATTATAAGATTATCTAGCACATTTCCAGAAATTCTCAATAAACTGGCAGATAATTTTGCTGGTTTCAAGCACATTTCTTAAAACAAGCACAATTATCTGCCAATATAGTACAATTTTACTTAATAAAATTACTTTAAAAAAGTAAAAAATGTCTAGAAAGGAGTTAAATAATCTTAAATTAAGCTCACAAAAATCTCAGCAGGATAAATATTAGATTTTTCCGACTATATTTAAGATAACTTTACTTGTCAAGGCGCCGTTTATTTGCAGTGCATGCTCTTAGTGTTTGGGCTGCATTAGCATTAGCATAGCATTAGCGCAAAGCTGCTACGCTAACTAAACCCTTGCAGGGATATTTTTGGTTACTTAATCAAAAAGTAACATCAAAAATTCAGACGCATTTCAAAAGAAAGGAACGTGTCCTCAAACTTTTGACGTGTGTTCGTATTGAAGAAGCTCAGCCCTTGAAAGTGTTAACTTCTCATGTTAGTCAAAACCAGCTAACTCAGCACGTGGAGATGAAACAGACACAGCAACAAACAGGCCTGACCGCCCAGGATGGAGCTCCGCGCGCCGCCGCCCGCCTGAACTAACTTAACACCACCATAATGACTTTCTCTCATGCAATTTGGAGGCAGTAATTAGTAATCAGCATAATCGCAAAGTGCCAGTGTGACTTATTCATAGAAACACAGACACGGAGGCTAAAATACAGAAAACGCTGAGTCACAGTGGAGCGGAAAGAAACTTCACACTCATATTACACTCCACAGCTCACAGCAGGAAGAAGAAAGCGCTTAACTTACAAGGGGTTTGACCAGAGGATCAGCCAACATGGGCAAAAGCGGTGTGAAGGTCAGTGGCCACTGGTATAAAACATCTTAAATACTTAATAGATTAAATGTAACAAAGCTAAGAGCTGTATTTAAGTTAAAATTGCATTTAACATCACCTGCTTTGCTTATTCAGAGGTCATACTTAAGTATTTTTGCAACACTCAGTTCAGTGGAGAGTCAATTCTCAAAACTCAATGACTAATTATTGCGCTTAAGTGTGTTTACGCAGCTCACTGGAGGTAAATGCACACGTTAAAGAGAAAACTTAAGACCTACTCTCACTTAAGTGGCTGCTGGACTGTTTGCAATGATCTTATTATCATATTAAGTATGATATTTCTGTACTTTGAGCAATTATACACATTATCTCACCTGGAACAATACCTATATATATATAATATCCACTTAAGCATTTAAAAAAGATCCATTAACAACTTCATATGCAAATATTCATGAAATAAGAGCTTTTATGTCCCTTTGTTGCTGCTGTATCTGCTCATATGAAACAGAATACGCTGTCAGTATATTCCAAAATCTACATATATCACCACTTTCATGACAAAAACTCTGAGATGGACACATTTACACATTTAAAAGTGTTCTAAAGTTTATTGTACAGTAGTGTGCAGAAGCCTTGGACACTGTTTAAAACCACTCAGCAGGGAGCACATTTTCGCCTGTAAATTCACCGTACAATCATTAAAATACATGCAAATAAACATAAATACAGTAAGAAGAACATGGATTTGCAGCACACTTAACATGATGAAGTATTGATTAGCCAGACCAGGTGTTAGATGATAACTACAGTTAATACTGGGCTACGAGGAGAGGGTTGGAAATGGTTGAAGACATTTACATACATAAATGTGCTTATTGTTTTAATATTATTTGTATTTTGGTGTTTTTCTGAGCTAATACACACTTACTGCACAGCCTTTTATATGTAATTTGCTATTGTTGTTGGAATAAATACAATAAAAGGTTTTAATATGACAAAACATTACGGTTTGCATGGATCTGCAATTTCCTTCATGTTTTATGAAGTTTCTGTGTATCTACATGTCTGATCTGTGTCTGATTATGTTTGCAAATATCAGAGTGTGTGTGTGTGTACCTGGATGAGGGGTCCTGCGGTGCAGAGTGTGTGTCCTTCAGTGTGAGCCATTGCTGCTGTGAACTGAGTGTGTTTCCGCCCCCCGCAGGCTGAATCTCCAGACTGTCCCACGCTGCCCTGCTGTTTTATAGGAACAGAGAGGAGGATGGGCCGGGCCTCCACAACACCGCTTCACTTTTACACTACCACTCACGCACTGTCCCGCCGGGTCACAGGCTGTCAATCAAAACAATGACTCACACACACTCATACACATATGCTCCACACTGATGTTTAAAGGGGAATTCCACCCTTTTATCAAAATTTTCTGCATAATAAAGGAGTTAAGATGTAAACAGAGTCGTTCAGAGTGGTTTGGTGTGAAACGCTCTGTTCTAGATAAACTTACCGAGTCAGAACTGTTCACAGTGGTGGTGATAGGAACCAGACGTCCACCTCTAAAAGCTCCCTCACAGAAAGTTCCTACATGAAATGGTTATGAATTCACTGCCTGATGACTGAGACACTGTTTTATGATAGGTTCAAGAAGATTTTGGCCTTTGGTCTTTGTAATATGTGAAATGGTGGAGGGATACATGTTCCCATTTTTATTTCATTATCTGGTGATGGTAGAAATGGCCGACACCATTTTCAACATTTTGATTCTTCAGGAACTCATAATTTCGAGGGAGGTCTAGAAATAGTCCTCTACGTCATCACGGATCAGACTTAATTAGTACCAGTCAGAACTATTTGCGTCCCTACTGCTTCTACATACTGTAATACTGATTATGTATGCCGTTCTCGTGGGTATGCTGAAATTAACAGCCAGATATTAAAAGGGAAATCCAATTCCAATTTTTTTTTTTTATTTCTGTGGAATTAAATGATTAATTTGTAAAAAAAAACAACAACAACAAAAAAAAAGTGGTTTGGTGCAAAACGCTCTGTTCTAGAGAAACTTACAGAGTCAGAACTGTTCACAGTGATGGTGATAGGAACCAGACGTCCACCTCTACAAGCTCCCTCACAGACAAGCTTTTTTTCTAAAATTGTTAAAATTTTTAAAATTATGGTGGAGGGATACATAATACGCAGGGTGCTGTGAGGCAAAATAGTCCCCAAAGAAAACGTATTATTTCAGATTTTCCACTATTTTACCATCATCAACATTCCATATAAACTCAGAAGACTCGTGTAGGTTCACTGGTGGTTCTGGATAGTAAATAAAATGTCTATATTTGTGTTGTAGTCATGGTGACCCCTGGTTCCTATCACCACCACTGTAAAGACCATTTCACACCAAACCACTGTGAATCTCTCTGATTATATCTCACACACTGAACTATGCAGAAAATTTGGAAAATCAGTGGAGCTCCCCTCTAAACGGTCCATATCATAGAGTTTCAAAATGTACCATTCACTCTTCAGTCCATAAAGTCATATGGAAACTAAGCTGCAAAAACAGCTTGTTTTGAATTTTATTTTTTGAAGAGCGTGTGGCAATTTTCCTTCACATAATTTACAAAGACATTATCAAATTATGACAAAGAGGTTTGGATCCAGCTTAAATGTACAATATAAAGATCAGCAGGTACCAGTAACTTAATAATGTGATTGTGCAGTATGCAGTGTGTTATATATTTTGTTTTTAAAATTTTTAGATATTATTTTATGGTGGACTATTATTTATTTTAATGTAGGTGTGATTTGACTTATTTACTTTTAATGGATTATAAATCAGAAACCCTTATTACTTTAAGACTAATTCCTGTTTGACCATATGAGTGATACATATCAATATGTGAGATTTGATGTGCTTCAGTGGAAAGATATAAATGAAAAAAGTTGCTGCAAGAAAAATAAACAAATAAATACAATTATATAATAAAATAAATACACATATCTGAATCTTCTATTTTGGTAGTTAAACATGCTGTAAACCAAATAGGAATCCAAGACAGTGGTTCTATATAGAACCATAAACACTCAGGGAACTCTTTGCATGCTTAAATGGTTCTCTGCATGGTGAACTGGTTCTTCAGATTGACTGAGAATGTGCTGTAAAAAGCAGTAAAAAGGGTTCTGCTAGTGTTACAAGCTTGACATCAGAACCCTTCTTCCACATTCTCCATCAATCTGAAGAGCCATTTCACCATGTAGAGAACCATTTAAGCATGCAAAGGGTTTTTTTTACTAAAGAACCATTGAGGACGAATCTTTCTAGCTTCTCTGAATGAGCACCAACATCAGTGATGGTGATGACAGGGCTGGAGTTTTATTATCACAGTAGATATTAACAACGGATGAGCATCAGCTGCGAACTGAGCTGATAAAGTGCAGAACAGCCGGCACTCAGATAAACAAACAAAGAACAAACAACTCGGAACAAAGACACGATGTGGCCTGAGATTCAGGACCACATATCAAAGGACAGAGCAGCTCAGCCTCATCAGCAGCGAACGACGCACAAAATTACACCATCTGACCTTTTAAACTACTTATTTTTAATAATCAGCAGAGCGAGAATCTCCTTAGCTACACTATTAAACTTGTAAACAAACAAATAATATATTATTATATCTTCTGTTCCGCCGTGTTTGTTTCTCATTTAACAAAACAAATGCAGTTACAAAAGAACATAATCTCTCAGATCAGTCTCTGGATTCTAGTCTCTGCAAACACACACGTACACAGCGTTTTCATCTGCCCACCATTATCTGTTTATATTACATCATCTGAAAACACAAAAATCTGTCAGTTAAATAAATAATACAATCTCCATAATGCCTGTGCAGACGTACGCATCAAAAATGCCAAATAAACAAAACAAAAACCTAAAATGAAATAAAGTCATCAGTTTTCACAATTTTCACTGAGATGCAGCTGTTTCTCACCGTATCTAGAGCTCTTTTCTGCTCTCTAAACCCGTTTCTAGAGTCGTTTTGAGGGGCTGTTTTCTATCAGAACTTTCTTAGAGTTGTTAAGTTCTTGATTTATGGAGCTGAAGATCATACAGTTTTCTAGAGCCGTCTTCTGTACCGAGTACGTTTTAGGGCTATTCGAAGATGGTTTCTCTGTTTTTTTTCTGCACTGAAGATGTTTTCTAGGACCGTGTTCTGTATGGCACATGCTTTCTAGAGCTGTTCTTTCCATTGAAAAATGTTTCTAGAGCTATTTTCTTTTTTATTGCTCTGTTCTTGAGCTATTTGTGGCTCTAGAAAATAAGGTAGTACATCTTATTATCATTATGCTGCCCAACCCTAACGTAAGCCTTTTGCACAATATCTTTTAGGTGCAACGGCATTACTTCCTGAAAAAAAACCCTTTTATCTGTACTGGAAAATGTTTCTAGAGCTCTTTTCTGTAGTCTGTTTTCTAGAGCGATTTCCTTTTTGGGAAAAAAAATTTCACAGTCGTTTTTCTAGAGATACTTTCTGTTTTCTGACGCTCTCTATTTTTGGAGTATGTTTTCGAGAACTATTTTCTGGAACATTTTTATAGCTATTTTCTGTTTCGAAGATGATTTATGTTTTCTAGAGGTGATTTCTGCTTTGAAAAATGTTTTTTAAGAGCTGATTTCTGGAATCGTTTTACACCCCAGCACCTCATCTGCAGTCTCATCGCTGGCTGTTCACTTTTTCCAGTTTGGCCTCCATCTTCCTCAGCGCGTTTCTGAGGCGACGGACCCTCTCTCCCCGCTCTAGATCCTCAAAATCCAGCTCGCCGGTTTCTAGAGGCAGCACAAAGCAGGGTAGAAGACGCTCTCCTCCGTTCTCCTGCACACTGGGGTCTGGAGGAGGGGCTTGGGCTTGAGCAGAAACCTCAGAGGTGACCGTGTGTTTGAGTGGTTCTCCATCAGCAGATTCACGGTGCTGAGGTTCCTCTGATTTTGGCTCTTCTGAGCTGCTCAAGAAAATTCCATAGTTTTCAATCCCAACTGCATCATTCCAGCCTTCAGCCAGGGAAGTGATGTGGGATATAACGGGAAATATCTCAGAATCACTTCTGCAGGGTTTGGCAGGTGAACTCTTATCATCAGTCTCACGTTCTTCAGCAGCACCAGCTTCAGGAGCTTCAGTGACGTCACCATCAGCTCTGCTCTCCAGGTCAGCTTCAGTGTCCATCACTTCATAGAGCTCAGTGCTAATGCTAGCGTTCCTGCTAGCAGCACTCAGTGTCTTAACGTCAACAATGCTCAAATTCACGCCGTTAAGATGTGAATTATCCATGATATTCTTAACATCATCTCCTTTATCCAGCTGTCCATCAGCCTGCTGGTCACCTTCCTCAACGTTCCCCACTGGTTCAACACCCACATCACCTCCTTTATCACGTTCCTCATCAGATGGACGTCCAGTTTCTCTTCCCGCTGGTTCCTCGTCTTTCCTATCCCCATCTTCTGCCTGGCCATCACCTCTTTTATTCCTCCTCTGCTCCACGGTGTCTCTAATCCCTCCATCACTCCCTGAATCAGACGTTTCTGACAATTCTTCTTTTATACCATCCATGATTTCCTGCACTGGATCAGTCTGTGAGCTGAAATCAGCAATCGCTCCACATTTGTGCTCTTCCTACAACAAGAACAGCACAGTTCTGTCAGTGTGTTCACAAATACCTTCCAAACAGCTACAGAATGAAGGACCTTCTGAGAACAAACTGCTGCAATAAAAGTCCTTCGTTCTGTAGTTGTTAAATCAATACGCTGCCCATCAGAAGTCTGGTCACATCTAATTTTTAAATGTTTTTAAATGCAAATTGTCCTTTTCGGTTAGCGATAATTTACTAATTTGAAGAAAATAGTATTAAAACTGTAAATATTTGTGCCAATCAGCACCACCAGTATCTTGTGACCTGCTTTTGTGATTGTTGTGGCCCAAAATGCTTAATTTTGGAGCAGCTTTTCTCAATATTTCTAGCAGTAGTTATAATTTGGCTCATTTGCGGGAGACAGCAGTACGGGTGGGCGACATGGCTAGATATTACATCACGATACTTCAAGCAATTTTCATGACACGCGATATGCATAAAGATATTTTTTTTTCTTAGACTTAATAAAATTTAATGCCAAATAAACAAAAACCTAAAATGAAATAAAGTTATCAGTTTTCACTGAGATGCAGCTGTTTCTCACTGTTTTCTAGAGCTCTTTTCTGCTTTCTAAACCCGTTTCCAGAGTCGTTTTGAGGGGCTGTTTTCTATCGGGAATTTCTTAGAGTTGTTAAGTGCTTCATTTATGGAGCTGAAGATCATACAGTCTTCTAGAGCCGTCTTCTGTACTGAGAACGTTTTCGAGAGCTATTCCAAGATGCTTTCTGTTTTCTAGATCTTTTTTCCTGCACTGAAGATGTATTCTAGGACCGTGTTCTGAGTGGCATATGCTTTCTAGAGCTGCTCTCTCCATTGAAAAATGTTTCTAGAGCTATTTTCTGTTTTGTTGCAGTTTTCTCAAGCTATTTAGGGCTTTAGAGCTATTTATGGCTCTAGAAAATAAGGTAGTATATCTTATTATCGTTTCTCAATAGCAGTTTTTCTAATGATTTCTAGCAGTATTTATAATTTGGCTCATTTGCGAGAGACAGCAATACAGGTGGGCGATATGGCTGAAATATTACATCATGATACTTCAAGCAATTTTCATGATGCACGATACGCATCAGAATATTTTGTTTTTCTTAGACTTAATAAGTTAGAACTGACAAATTAGAACCTGTATGACCACATATTAAAAATACTGTAACAACAATAATAACAGATCTACAACTACAGTGGTTTTTATTCAAGGTTTTACAATCTGTGATTATTCTCTTTTCTCGCTTCAGAGTGTGCTGAATGTAAACAGGATCAACTGAAGGAAGTGATATTCCAATTATCTCTGAAGTTTTACTCACAGTGCCCTGCACTTTATTACGAGTCTGGATATTTATATTTCCATACCACACTGTAACAGATGACGTGAGAACACTCTTGATAATGGATGAATAAAATTTAATGCCAAATAAACAAAACAAAAACCTAAAATGAAATAAAGTTATGAGATTTCACAATTTTCATTGAGATGCAGCCGTTTCTCACTGTTTTCTAGAGCTCTTTTCTGTGGACAAATAAAATGGACAAATAAAATTTAATCAGTAGATCTTCTGACTTTGTATTTTTTTGATTGAGATTTTTAATGATATGATCAGAATTGATGCTCCACTTCAGCAAATCTCTAACGTTCCCAGAAATCTGAAAGACTTTAAAACAGATCGATTGTCCCAAAACTTGCACTGGATTTCTAAAGAAGGCCCAGCCTTTTTGTCAGGCACTGATGTTCCGTTTAACATCACTGTAAAATCCATAACGCACTACTGTTATATTTGCACAGATTAAATGTCACAATTACAGCCACTTTTGAGCTGCATGAGATGAAGACACTGACCTGAGGCTGCTTCCCTGTGTCTGGTGAAACCTGAGGTGGAAACACTGCCCCCTGCTGGCCGCTGCTTAACTCTCTGAGCTGCATCTCAGTGCTTTGTATCTGCTCCTGAAACAAACAGAGCACAAGAAGACTCAGATCAGAAACTGTAACTCTAAACCAACCAGATCAGTGAACAAACTGAACAGAATCAGAATCACTAAAAGGTCATGATGGTGATAAACTGGACATTTATCACACTGCAGCTGCTGAGTCCACTGATTATCTGAGACGATGTTCTGAGTCAGGTGAGCTCCAGCAGAGAAGATGCACATTTGGACTGCATGACATAAACAAAAGTTTGTTTATTCATTTTTCTTACCTTTTCTTTTGTTTATTCTGTTTAATTTATTATTTATTACTATTTTTTAATTTACACCGATCAGGCAGAACATTCTGACCACCTCCTTGTTTCTACACTCATTGTCCATTTTATCAGCTCCACTTACTATATAGGTGCACTTTGTAGTTCTACAGTTACAGACTGTAGTCCATCTGTTTCTCTGATACTTTGTTAGCCCCCTTTTACCCTGTTCTTCAGTGGTCAGGACCCCCATGGACCCTCACAGAGCAGGTACTATTTGGGTGGTGGATCATTCTCAGCACTGCAGTAACACTGACGTGGTGGTGGTGTGTTAGTGTGTGTTGCGCTGGTCTGAGTGGATCAGACACAGCAGTGCTGATGGAGTTTTTAAACACCTCAGTGTCACTGCTGGACTGAGAATAGTCCACCAACCAAAAATATCCAGCCAACAGCGTCCTGTGGGCAGCGTCCTGTGACCACTGATGAAGGTCTAGAGGATGACCAACACACACTGTGCAGCAGCAGATGAGCTAGTCTCTGACTTTACATCTACAAGGTGGACCGACAAGGTAGGAGTGTCTAATAGAGTGGACAGTGAGTGGACAGTGTTTAAAAACTCCAGCAGCACTGCTGTATCTGATCCACTCGTACCAGCACAACACACACTAACACACCACCACCACGTCAGTGTTACTGCAGTGCTGAGAATGATCCACCACCCAAATAGTACCTGCTCTGTGAGGGTCCATGGGGGTCCATTGACTGGCATTATTGCTACTGAGTAGTGATTGGTTAGCATTACTGCTACTGAGCGCTGATTGGTTGGCGAGCGGAGCAGCTCATTGGCTGTTCGCGCTCACAGACGTCATGAACGTCCATGAGGCGCTGTTTTAAACTCCTATAACTCGAGATTTAAAGCTCTTAAAAATATAACAGCAGTGTTAAAATGTTTTATGCTGCTCTGTGTTCAGGAAATGAATGAATTCATTTACATTAAAAATGTTTCAGCATTTATAAACTATGATTTTGCTCAAATGCTCCATATCAACCCATTCATTTTGGACTCGCTCAGGAGCGCCCTCTAGTGTTTGAGAAACATTACAGATCAGTAATTCTCCTCTCTACAAGTTCTCTGGCCATACTCACAGGTGAGCCTCTCTGTGCTGAGGAAAGGGGCGGAGCCTTAAACAGGTGTTTCTGTGACGCAGGGACAGGTGAGAGGAGGCTCTTTGAATCCGATTGGCTGGACAGCACCCTTTTCCTCCTCACTGAGAGGAATATCTGACCGTCATAAAGGATGATGGCGTTCTTTCTGTGGCTGGACACTCTGCTACAGGCCACTGGAGCGTCCGGCTCGCCAGCCTGCAGGACGCTTTTACCCGAGTACAGAAACTTGCTGAAGATTCTGGAGGCCGTGGGGTTGGAGCTCACCACCGGCAGCCTGAACTGACCCTGGGTCAGAAAACGGTGCGTCTGTGCCGTCCTGCTGGAGGACGAGCCTTTTTCTCGCAGTTCCACCGGACAGATCCACGTGACCGTCTGAGGCGAGCCGTTCGGCTCTCTCGGTGAAGGTCGCACGCCCATCTTTCTGGCGATGGACGGAGGAAGGCACTGCACGGAGATGTTTCGGACGCAGGCATCTGTAGGGATGTAAACCTCGGTGTTCTCCACTGAGGACATGGCGCATCATCAGCGAAGCATCAGTCCACTCTGGAGAGAGAAAACATTACAGCACAGTATTTTATAGGAACAGAGATGGAGAGAAAGATCAGCTGCACTGTTAGATTTTTCATTTTATTCCGGCGACAATGCTGAGTGTTCATGCTGCGTTTTATATTATTGTGCTGTGCAGCTTCACAGACTTTTATTTTACATTCTATACTTTGTAACTGTATTTTCATTCACTTTATAAAGCGTAATGTCTCAGCTTTGCAGTGCTTTGCTTACCGTCATGTTTAAAGCCTGTTATCTTTGTTTAAAATCAACACATTACACATCTGTAAGAAATTAAATATAATGAGTATGAATATGCAATATGAGTGAATATAACTAAAGTGTCCCCCAAACTATTTATTTACTTTTATCATTATTTTTATTTTTCATTTTATTATTATTATTATTGTTGTTGTTTTGTATATGTGTATGTATTTATGTATTCACATGTTTAAAGCATGTAAATACACCGATCAGGCATAACATTCTGACCACCTCCTTGTTTTTACGCTCATTGTCCATTTTATCAGCTCCACTTACTATATAGGTGCACTTTGTAGTTCTACAGTTACAGACTGTAGTCCATCTGTTTCTCTGATACTTTGTTAGCCCCCTTTTACCCTGTTCTTCAGTGGTCAGGACCCCCATGGACCCTCACAGAGCAGGTACTATTTGGGTGGTGGATCATTCTCAGCACTGCAGTAACACTGACGTGGTGGTGGTGTGTTAGTGTGTGTTGTGCTGGTACGAGTCAATCAGATACATCAGTGCTGCTGGAGTTTTTAAACACTGTGTCCACTCACTGTCCACTCTACTAGATACTCCTACCTTGTCAGTCCACCTTGTAGATGTAAAGTCAGAGACGATAGCTCATCTGCTGCTGCACAGTTTGTGTTGGTCATCCTCTAGTCCTTCATCAGTGGTCACAGGACGCTGCCCACAGGACGCTGTTGGCTGGATATTTTTGGTTGGTGGACTATTCTCAGTCCAGCAGTGACACTGAGGTGTTTAAAAACTCCAGCGGCACTGCTGTGTCTGATCCACTCAGACCAGCACAACACACACTAACACACCACCACCACGTCAGTGTTACTGCAGTGCTGAGAATGATCCACCACCCAAATAGTACCTGCTCTGTGAGGGTCCATGGGGGTCCTGACCACTGAAGAACAGGGTAAAAGGGGGCTAACAAAGTATCAGAGAAACAGATGGACTACAGTATTCACTATTTTAACGAAATATGAAGCTTATTAATGATTATATGATGAATTATGGAGCATTTTGTGTTTGGGGGGCCAAAGAGCAGCGTTCGTGGTGGGCCGAGAGCCAGAGAGATAAAAGAGTGCACAAATACGGCAAGTAGGTGGGTTTCAAATGGAGTCATGAGTGCATTTAATCATATTTAATCACAGTTTGTCCTACACTCTTGAAGAAGACGGTTCTTCGTGGGTTCTTTAGTAAAGACGATGGTTCTGTTTAGAACCTTTCACGCTTAAAAGGTTTGCTGAATGGTGAAATTATTCTTCGGATGGAAAACATGTTAAATATGGTTTTATATATAGAGGTTCTATATAAAAGTTCCTTCTACTGTTATGACGTCAAGCTCGTATGCAATAGAAGAACATTTTTTGGTGAGAACCATTTTCAAAAAGGATCTACATAGAACCATATACAACACGTTCTCCATCAATCTGAAGAGCAATTTCACCATGCAGGGAACCCTTTACGCATGAAATGGTTCTATATACAGCTCGTGGTTCTAAACAGAACCCTTGAAGAACCTTCTATTTTTAAGAGTGTACCTTAAATGCAAGATATACGTGTCTTCTATGTGTCTGAAAAGCAGGTAAATCTCAGGACAGAAGCTGCAGCTCAGATAAACAGATGAACTCAAACTCATGAATAATAATGATTATAATAATAATAATTATTAATTAATTAATTAAGAAAATAATGCTGAGTTTTTTCACGTCTAGTTTTATTAGTTATTGATTTGTGAAAACGCGCTGAAGGCTTTACGGTCAACACCAGCTAAAAACCCCTCCTTACCTGCTCGGACATCTGCGCGCTGCTGTGATGGATCAGATCTGTTTCAGTTTCTTTTCTCAGAAATTAAAAATCATTTCTGTTCAAAACTTTTTCAGGAGCGGCCTACCCGGAAACCACGGACATTCTGATACACGCGCCATCCGAACTGTCAAAATAAAAGCCCTCTCTGGACGTGAAAAGCAGTTATCATTCAACATCTGTGAAGAATTAAATATTATATTATGAGTATGCGTATGCAATTTGAGTATATATAATTAAAATGCACCCCAAACATTCATTCATTCATTCATTCATTCATTCATTCATTTTCTCTTTTTTTCCTTTTTTAATTTCTTTAGTATATGTGTATGTGTTTATGTATGCACATGGTCAAATCATGTCGATATGTTATATATTTTGATTGTTATTATCAGGACTCTTTTTTATTTGAAATAAATGGAAGGTTTTATCTGAACATAATTTGAGTAGCAGTTATTTTTATAGTATTATTTTGTTAATAACCCACAGTCCTGTCATCTTCTTCTCCTTGTATCTGTTTCTCTCTTATTTTTTCAGTTTCTGAGACAAAAGATTTCAGGAAAATTAGTAAAGATTTCTTGAATCTGTTACTGAACATAAACACACATTTACATGTAACAGCAAAAGAATAAAATGCTGAAAAAAGACACCAGAAAAAGGACCGTACAACAAAAACTGAGGAACTCAGAACTTTTAATGATTGGAAAAAGAAATTGTAGACACAGCAGTGCTGCTGGAGTTTTAAACACCTCAGTGTCGCTGCTGGACTGAGAATAGTCCACCAACCAAAAATATCCAGCTGACAGCGTCCTGTGGGCAGCTATAAGGTGGTCTGACAAGGTAGGAGTGTCTAATAGAGTGGACAGTGAGTGGACACAGTGTTTAAAAACTCCAGCAGCACTGCTGTGTCTGATCCACCCAGCACAACACACCACACCACCACCACCCAAATAGTACCTGCTCTGTGAGGGTCCTTTGGGGGTTCTGACCACTGAAGAACAGGGTAACAAGAGAATCAGAGAAACAGATGAACTACAGTCTGTAACTGTAGAACTACAGAGTGAAACTATGTGGTCAGTGGAGCTGATGAGATGGACAGTGAGTGTAGAAAAAAGGAGGCAACCAGTCGGCGTATTTCTTCTATTATTTTTTATGAACCCCATTAAATGTTACTAGCTGAAGTTTTTAGTTAAAGGCCTGGTTAATGTGTTCAGACCAGTGTGAAGCTATTATAAGATTTAGAAAATATTGTACTTTGTCCCCCCAACGATGGACCCTGTACTTTGAAGTATTTTTAAGTGAAAAGGTAAGAAATTAAGAAAAAAAGTTTATGTGCAATTATATGACTTTATACTGTAACACTGCAATTTCTATCTATCTATCTATCTATCTATCTATCTATCTATCTATCTATCTATCTGTCTATCTATAATGTTCTATCTATCTATCTATCTATCTATCTATAATGTTCTATCTATCTATCTATCAAGTTCTATCTATCTATCTATCTATCTATCAAGTTCTATCTATCTATCTATCTATCTATCTATCTATCTATCTATCAAGTTCTATCTATCTATCTATCTATCTATCTATAAAGTTCTATCTATCTGTCTATCTATCTATCTGTCTATCTATCTATCAAGTTCTATCTATCTATCTATCTATCTATCTATCTATCAAGTTCTATCTATCTATCTATCTATCTATAAAGTTCTATCTATCTCTCTATCTATCTATCTATCTATCTATCTATCTATCCAGTTCTATCTATCTATCTATCTATCTATCTATCTAGTTCTATTTATCTATCTATCTATAAAGTTCTATCTATCTATCTGTCTGTCTGCCTGCCTGTCTTTCTTTCTTTCTTTCTTTCTATCACCTCATATAACCTATAATTCAACAAGATTAGAAATATAATGAAAATGTAGAATATCCTGTTACTGTAGCGAATGACCACAGTACTGTAATCTGGACTTCTACACTACAGCACTACTGTAATCTGGACTTCTACACTACAGCACTACTGTAATCTGGATTTCTACACTACAGCACTACTGTAATCTGGACTTCTACATTACAGCACTACTGTAATCTGGACTTCTACACTACAGCACTACTGTAATCTGGACTTCTACACTACAGCACTACTGTAATCTGGACTTCTACACTACAGCACTACTGTAATCTGGACTTCTACACTACAGCACTAGCTGTAATCTAAAACATTTTTGGTGATGAGCTAATTAGAAGGATAAAAAATGTAATATGTGAAGTTCCGTCTCACAAGGCAGAGCGATTTACGTCCTGTTGGGTAACATGTCCTGAATAATCCCACTTCCACTGCGATTCAATCTGTTGTTAACTGGAAATTTGCTTTTGCTGTTTGTTTTGATCCATTTTATTTTTATTCTTAACGCTGAAATGAACATCTGACGTTTTGGTCGACTATCTGAGGTCATTTGTGGAAAATTACACAGATACTTTGTCCCCTATAAATCAGCTTAGTTTCCATATAGCACAAAACACAACACATTCAATCTGAAGAACCATTTCACCATGCAGATGATTCTTGGAGTGTTCTAGAATCATTGTCTTTGCTAAAGAACCCTTGAGGAACCATCTTGTTAAGAGTGTAGGGCTTATAACAGACGTTTGTCTACCAGACAGAAAGTGAAAATAACTGACTCTCAGTCGCGCTGCTGAACCACGCCCTTTTTTCCCAATAACTCCAGGTGGGGTCCCCACATCCCTCTTTCTCTCTTCCTCTCCCTTTCTCTCTCTCTCTCCTGCCCTCTCTCTCTCTCTCTCTCTCTCTCTCTCTTCCCCTCTCTCTCTCTCTCTCTCTCTCTCTCTCTTCCCCTCCCTCTCTCTCTTTCTCTCTCTACCCCCCCTCTCCCCCCAATCCGATAAGTAGTAAGAGATTCTGCCTTCTTCTGCCTTCTCAGGCCACAATCACTCTCTTTAATTCTCTTTCTTAGAGGCGACAGTGGCTTGACACTGAAGAGTTGACACTGAAGAGTTGACACTGAAGAGTTGACACTGAAGAGTTGACACTGAAGAGTTGACTCAGCCAGACTTTGAACAGGAATTATTTTACCTTAAAATACAGATTATACCTGTAGAAAAGGACACACCCACTGTAACTGTCACAGACGGTACACCCACTAAGCAGAATGGTCACCGAAGACAAGCCCACTCAACCAAGGACACGCCCACTTCTGGCTAATGTGTATTTAAGAAGCTGATGGAGGGTCATAGCTGGAGCTGATCTGGCTATTTGACCGCAGGTATGTCCTCTCTGTGAGCATTTCAGGCTTTTCATTAACATAATAATAAAGAAAAGCACTGCAGATAATAGAGTTAACCTTATAACTTAACCTTGTTTACCTTTAGCTCTATAACTCTACCTTAAAGACATGATTCTTTACACTGTCTTCTCAGAGATATGAATTACATTTTTATGTGTGTAGCTTATTTAATCTATACAAGATTAGACATAGGAGAGAATGTAGATCAGCCTATTATGTAGTGTATAAGCAAGCTTACAGTTTTGACAGACTCCTTTCAGCACCTGTACTCTGTTTTTCAGTCGACTGTACCGGAATGTGTTCCACTCGGGCCGCCGTTCTGCTCCTGCTCTTTGGTAACAGATTCTCTTTTACAGATTATTTCCATAGATACACTAACTAATCCCTGAAGATCTGATCTGGTCTGAGGTTCGATGTAAAGTGATCAGGCTCTTCACAGTAATGCGAAAATGAAAGTTGTCTTTGTCATGAAATGAAAGAGAAACAAAGCAATAACAGTAAACTGAGCTGTTTAAACAGAGGCGCTTCATGCATGGGCAATTAAATGGACCGCTAACGCAGTTCGTAAACAGAGGAAGCTACGCAGCTGCTTTTATCTCTGCTGTGATGACGCAGCTGATTAGGTGTTTTTTCTTGCTGTTGCATCGGGACACCTTAGCATTCACACTACACATTAGCGATCATATTCGTCCCTGAGACCCATTGGACTCCATTCACAACTCGATTTACTGCTGTCCCCTTATGATAAGTGCCTGGACACGTGTTAATCCCAGGCTGTGTTCACATTCTGGCCTTTTTATGATCGGACAGCAATCTTCAATCAAACTCAGTCAAAGGAATTGATGATTTAATTAATATTGGAAAATGTAGAGCAATTGTCATCCTTCATTTAGTTGTTCTCCTCTCACAATCCCGTCTTTTACTCTATCCCTCTTTAGCAGTGATCTCTCCCGGTGAAGCTTTCTTCCCAATGCTGTCTGAGGAAGTATCTGGTAAGATCTGTGTGCTCTTTATACAGAACCTGGGACTGATCCAGTCGTTTCATTCATGTATTAAAGCAACAGTTTAGCAGAAAAAACAAACAGTTTTATTATCCCAAATGTAGATGATCAGCCAAGACATTTGGAGCTTCTTCAGCTTTACACTGGAGCTACGAGGCTAATGTAGCTAACAAGTAATGGATGCACATAACCACCAATTATCATTGTGCTAACTGCATGTCTAAATCATCTAAACCACCTATTTAAACCTGACGAAAGTGCATCACATAGCAGCTGCCTTGGAGTTCATCTATACATTTATTTGTATATTCATTCTGTTTTTATAGGCAACAGTGAGTCATACAGTGTCAGAATCCACAATATTAAGCCTATTAGAGAAACTGAACAACTATGCACGTTTGAAGCTATTTAGGTTTGTATGAAACTACTGCTTTAAAGACTCCCATGAAAGGGTGCTTGTGGTCATACAGTGCCCTGTTCATATTCTACTGAGGACTTACGGAGGACTTTTGTATAACTAGCCTAATGCAGCCGGAGAGAACAAAGAAAAGGCCCGAGGGGTTTGCTTCCATTTTTAGGAAATTACTCTTATAGGTTTTCTGTGCCGTCTGCTCAGCTTGTTTCTCTTTTGACAGAATGTCTTGAGAGTCAGTGCGTCAACAAGATATTTGTCTGCCTGGAACACTATGGAGAGGATCTGACAGCCCCACTGAAAGGTATACTACACCACAGCTGATATTTAAAGAGCACACACACACACACACACACACACACACACATA